TCTAATTACAGATGTTGAAAATAAATTTCTACATATCAGCAGTCCCGTAGACTTACTCCAGATGATGATTGTCCTTTTTGTGTATCTCATACCAATAATAGTATATTTTGCCACATGTCTCATTCTTTGCAGGGTCATATGTGGCAAAAATTTATATTGGGAAGTCCAGTATGAAATTTTCCATGTGACCGCCTGAAGCAGTGCCATTGGCTTACGTTTGTTTCGTCTCCCATTTTCAGTTTAGATAGATGCTAGATATATATATATATATATAAGAAGATACTCAGATACAGATACAGATACCGAAGAGCCCAGAGGTGGATCATAATTTATTTTAATTGGCTGTTTGGTTATTTATGTTCTTTAGTCGGTTTTGGCACTTCCAGCCAGGCGACGGCAGCTTCTTTCCGCTTGTCTACCCACCCTTCAGCTAAATATCCAACTCAAATACTACCCATAGATTCCCGTTAAAATATATATATAATCGTATATATCTGGAAAATATCATAAAGTTGTCATCGCCGTCGGAAAATGTCCGGAAAATGTAATCATGAGCGGAATCTTTTTTGGAGAAAAGCGCCCAACAATCTGTCAAAAGTGAGAGGTTCTATATATAGAGTTGAGATGTAATATACTAATATATCTACAGAGAAAAGAATCTTTAAGGGGAAAATTTAAAAATGTAGAGTTAAGGCTATGAAGTGGAAGTTCTTCCAGTTGAAACTCTTTGGAAAAACTCTAACTAACTCTTGTTAATAAATGAGCTAGGTTTGATTCTACTAATACTTTAGTAACCCTAGTGACTAATTTCATGTGATTTAAAAAATGTTTTTATATTTTTTCTTATCTCAGTACCCTAATTAGTTATACACAGAAAAACTCCTAATTTTTATATTTTCCTATTGTGGAATTTATGACTCTATACAGCCTTATATTTTTCAATCTATGTACCATCATATAAAAAGTATCTCTTCACTATCTTCATCTGTGACGATATAGCCGCCATCGACGAGTTCAGAGCTTCATCAAACTTTTTCGAACGTTTTGGCGCTGGTTTTGTGTTTGTTTTCCCTTTATCGACTCTGATGGTTCCCGCCAGCGCGAAAACTTCGTCTGAAGAATGGGTGAAAAACATAGTGAAAACGAGGAGGGGGATGGGGTAAAGACGGAAAGAGGGTGGAAAACTGTCCCTGTCAGACAAACAAACAAAATTAAAACTCACGTAAGTGAGACTTCCTCCTTTTTAAGAGGGAAGGAGCAGAGAAACTGGAACAATTAGAAATTACCTTGCAGTGTGTAACAAACAGACCAGAAAAAGAAAAGAAGAAAAAAGCAGGGCCAGCAGAGGAGGCCAGAAATCTGGTAGAATGAGGATCTCAGCTAGTAGCTGCTGTGGAGGCTAAGATCGGAGTTGAGACCAGATCAAGACCATTGAACCCAAGCAAAGCTAACAGCAGGCCAGACGCCAGAGCAGGTGGCCAGGCACAGATCGAGGCGTGCATTATAATTTACACGCTGCCTACTCTTCACCTCTCTCAGACCCTCACTTTGTATATATGCCATATATATATTTCTTCTGTATAAGCGGTGAACGACAAATTTGCGTTAACGCCAACGAAAAAGTCGAAGTTTTTGTGCACTTTTAGATTTTTAAGCGAAGCTCTATAAGGAAAAGGTTGAAAATAGTTGAAAATAATACTTTGGCCTTTTGACAAGAAAACCAATTGGTTAATGACAGATATCAAGTGTACAAACGTAGCCTTGTGTCTGCTGCGATTCATCTAAAAAAATCCAAATCCTTATCTTAGCTGTTTATTTGGACTCTCAAACGAATTAGATAAAGAGGATTATATTAAAACGGATTTCTATAAAAGTATGAGTAAAAAAATGAAACAGCAGATGTAGGGAGATTATACTGCGTGTGTTGGCAAAGCACATGAAACTGACGCACTTTATCAACAAAAGAACCATAATAACTGATTTACCATTAAAAAATAAAATAAGATCCAAAAATTGCACCTAATGTTTTTAAAACGAAGTTAACCATAGTAGTGATAAGTTACATGGAAAAACCCCAATAGAATATTGCATAAATTTGATTTTCAAAAAGTTTTAACTACGCATTATAGTATGAAGTTACTTTATCTACAGGATCTTCTATATTTCTTAATAATAAAAATAAGTTGTCTTTAATCTATCATGAATTTCCACCATCACTTTGATTAACAGCTCATTGTCCATCTTGACTATCTCAAACTCCATGATGGGAATGATAATGTAGCAATTAATGAATCAAGTCAATTAATGATCAGTTGGAAATCAAACAATTGAAGTACAAAAAAAAAACCAACAGCCTTCAAGACATAATATGCGCCGTCCAAGAAGAATGATCTTCTGTTGAGTCGAATCATCAATATTGCTGGATAATAATATCTATGGGTGTGCAAGTAATTCATTACAATGCTAAATACTAGATCACTTGAACTTACATCCTGCAAATCTACTTCATTATGATCTAAGAGAAGTATTCAAATACTTTTATACGAAAAAGAAATCTGCTTAAAACCATAGGGTTATCTTGGGTAATGATCTGCAATTTCCCCCTTGCCGCGAGGTCTGGTAATCAGATTCATTAACACTGTGAGGAAGAAGATCTTGGGCGCTTCAACATAATTCAACAACAAGATCATCATTATATGATCATTAGCAGACATATATATATGTTATATGTATAGAGAAACATATGTCTTGGTGGTGTGGACATCATCTCGTGCCCATCCCATTATTTGCTGGTTTACCAACTATTTTCACTTAATTTAATGAAAATTGCACCTCGAGGTGTTGGTTCGGTTGATTTAAGTTCCAGTTGGGGTTCTTCAATGGAGCAATGAACGTTGCGGTCAAGTTATGATTGTTGTCGCCGTTCATCCCAATGTTCGATGTCTGTCGCTGTTAGCACCATTGCACCGTTGCTGTGGCGGCAACGGCTCATCGCCCTCCTATTGTTGTCATGATTTGCGTTTAAAAGCATCAAATCCAAGGTGAGAGACACTGGTAAAAATGTAAGTCAAACGTGGGTAAGCTTGGCTTAATATGAAGCTCAAAGAGCAGCAAAGCACATTACAAAAAAGTTAAATAAACAAAAAGAAATTTACAACCACGGCAAGTGTCAACCTTAGTTTCCTATTAATAACGAAATTGAAAAACTTGCTCAATATTTATATAATTTGTGTGATCGACTGTGCCAAAAGTGCTAAATAACTTGGTAATTACAGATTGCTCAGGGCACATGTTCCTTTGCGATTACATGTTCTTTACAGAAGAGTCTTAGGAATACAGCAGAGACCCTAATCTTTCTCCCCAAACTGAATCTACAATAATCTTCTATAATTTCTTAACATTTTCTTACAGCTTCCGAACAGGAATTTCAATGATCAACTTTGGTGCCTCTGAACATCAAAATTTACATTGGTGCGGCTGTCTGACATGGTTACGATGTACAAGAACTTCTTCAGACAACCAGGTTAACTACTTTTGGTGTGTTTAGGTGGGCAGGGACAACCAGGTGGAGCCAACCAGCAATGCTTTTGTATATTAAGAGGTGGCTATCCCAGCATGAGAAATTAAATATGTGTCCTTGAGTGTTTCTTCGTGGAAGTCCCTAACTGGCAGTCTATAAAGATGGTCAGGTCTAGTGTGTCTGCCCAAAACACTGGGGTCACGGGTACAAACTGCTGGTGGAGGATGGACAAGCCGTTTCCAATACCGCGACCAATCTGGATTGCTCGCTAAACGGATCAGCCAGTTACAGCTCTGATGAAGAATACTTTCAATCGGCGTATGACCAAGTATGGCATTAATGTGAGTCTAATAACCTTCTATAGATGATACCCAATCATTGATTATATAAGCTTCGAGTGGAGGATTCTAAACCAGCAGATTGTGTCTTTGGTGTGTCCATAGGGCAGGTCAGTCCTACTACGCTGCCATTGGACGATCAAGAGCAATACTTTGGGGTGATCAGCATCAAGGGCTGTACATCGATGACTGTACCATTGCTGATCAAACGAAACGCTGACCAATAGCTTCATATTGACATGGTGGCCATTCAGGTTCCACGGTTATTGGTACGGTGAGGTCAGGCGATTAGTCAATTGGCATAACAACCATGATTATGGTTCGAAATAAATTAAATATCTTTGATTTTCTTTTTATAATTTCTAACTTTTCTTACCTAATTCGGAATCAGGATCAACCGTATGCCATCCGTTTGATGGCTGGCAGCCTTATTTACATTGTGGAGGAATAACTGGTTGGGTATTGGCTTAGCCAGGTGATCATGTGGAGATCGAGAACTCAATGCTTTAGACTATGGACGCGTTGAGCTCAATATCAATCAACGAACTGCAGTTTCCGTAATAATATCTACCGTCCCAAGTCCGGAAGTTTCTTGAATTTACGTATGCGTCATCATTCTGCCAGTCTATGTGGGGCATGATCTGCCGTGCAACAAGTCACAACAGACTATCAGTCCTTGATTTGGAGTCGGATGTTATATTATAAAAGGTTTAGGCGTCATAGTGGCGCATCAGAAAGTACCCTGCTTCAAAGTACGGATGTACAGTATAATGAGCATGCTACCATCTCTTTTACGTTACTACATCAATGGGTGAAACAAATCAGCCCGGTGATCGGTGGTGATTTCAGGCCATCCGAAGTATAGCCACCCCGGTCATTGGTCACCATTTGGTCATCGTACTCGTTGGGTTTACATCAAGTGCCTGCAACGGTGGCAGTGGACACAGGTGTCAATGGTGATGTGTGTTAGGGGGGATATCCGATTATGGCCGTGAAGGCATCAGAACTACCTCGATCAAACGCGTAGATCTCGTTAATAGTCAATACTAAGCAAGAGATGCTACAATCGGATGTTGGCGCTATGACAATATATAAAAGTCGTCACCGATTGAGAGTCTAATGTTTAAGCATATTCCAGTGTCATGCCAATGCCAGAATCCAACAATAGACGATGCGCCAGCACCGCCCGCAACCACTGCCAGTGCAACGTCACAATCCTGCTCCGGTTAGATGCCAGTGAGTGGTTCAAATGATGAATATCTACCAGAAGATAGCAGATCGTAGCGTCCGCTTTGATCTGGCGGGGATTACTCATCGCCGCTACATCCATCGGGGATACCTACCAAGGCCATTCAATGCTACAGTAAGTATGGCAATGACTAACTACAATTCCAACATAATAATCTCACAGCCATGTTGGCCACGAATCAGGAACTTCCGGCCTCTATACCACATCAACCGAATGTGTTGCTGGAGAAATAGTCATAACTCTTTGGCTGGGCTATGTTGAAACTCTGGACTGCTGTTTAGCTTGTATATATATATTAACATATCATATATAACCCTTAATTTTATGATATTAGCTAGAGGCTGTATGTGTTTTTGGGCAGTCATATATAATGAACCATGTTCGTGTTGAGAATCTTTTCTTTCTTAGTTAAACCTTCACAAACAAATAAAAGAGACTGAGCATTAATATGAATATTAACAAATACGGATCTTTATATATGGCTTCTCAATATGAACAAATTTTACCTGAAGTATCATTTTTGAATGTTTTTATTTATTAACTCTACCCCAGGTCATTTAGAGTGAAGTCAAGGATGTTTTAGAGAGATTTTTATAGGTTTCCCTTGGTGTTCCTCTGTAGTTACATAAATATCTTTTCTTACTTTTTGAACAAATGTAAAAAGATTAAAATTAAACACCTATACTAATAGATTAGGGTATATATAAACATACTATGTAGACACATATCATGTCAAAAGAGAGAGAGAGGGACCACTTACCGTAAATACAGATGTGTTGTCTAATCTAAATATCTTTTTTATTTCAAATTCAAAAATAAAAATAAAACTTTGATTTAGTACCAAACTTTCCTTATTAACAGAAAGAAAACCTCTTCTTTTACCTTTAAAATTAAAAATTCATATATAAAGAACTTTTTTTTGGTATATGTACATTTAAGTCAAAAAGTAATTATTGAAGAGACCACAGGCCTCTGAGTAAAAAAAACACACACACACACACAGCTTGTTTACACTTTAACTGCACTTGCACATGGTTGAAAAACACAAAAAAATGTTGTACACCAAGAGTAGGCAACAAAAAAAAACACTCATGCTAATGGAGGCAAGGATACACACACACAAACGCAAAGGCAAATCCTGTGTACGGAAGTCATGTATCCACAAAGGTACTAAAAACAAAAATGTAGTTAAAAAATTTCCCTAAAAATCTGGTGATGGTTTACAAACTCGATCTGCTCTTCATAAGTTTCTGGTGGATTATTTTATGTTTATTAGCAAATAAAATCCCTATAAAACAGGTTAAAAATGTAGTGACAAAGATAACACCCTTTAGTTTGATTTCTGGTTTAAATTTGTAAAACAAACTAAACTTTGCTCAATGGTTATTATGCTTTTAGTTTTGTTAATCTACAACAATGTAACTTGTACCTCTCTCTGTGACTATAACTAAATCTGTAATATATATATCCATATATAAGTCCTTCTAGCAACGAATGGGCTTACTAACTTTGCAAAATTACCCAACATTCTTTTTAACCGAACTATTATTACACTCACAGATGCGCTATTTGGCTCACCGCCCGGCATATCAATATCCACGCCACATGCGTATCTCACGCCAGCAACAACAACAACAGCCATCAACAATGACCCGGATTATGCAACGCCCGTTTGGCGATCTACACCAAGTGCCACGCCCACCAGTCGTCCACCCTCCATGGGACCAATGGCCACAACAACAGCTCCCTACAGGCTGTCAAGGAGTCCTGAGGGGGCACTCCAAAATTCACCACAATTCCATCCCAATCAGCTGACCTCAGCACACGTAACGAAAGACAATCCTACAGTCTGCCAACCCAGCCACCACCCCTGGAGTCTGAGGCCCGCAGGGTCATAAAAGGTCTACCAGCGAGCAAGTTTCGAATGTCTCGATGGTGCCGCCAACAATATAGAATATGGACTCAGGTTCAGATCCTCCGGCGGCAGTGATGTGACTGTCCAAATTGCCGATAATGATCATTATGCGGATGCCTCTAAGAGTATGCAGAGCCTATAATTATTGGCTGTATATAGTGTCCATATATATATAATATACCCCTCTATCTGCTACAACTGTCACACCTGCCACCCACAAACAAAGAACAACAAAAGAGGGAGAAGAGAAAACCTGCAAAAAGCGGTGCCCAAAGAAAAACAACAAAAAAATAAAAAACGAAAACATTTTGTGATATTCATGCAGTTTCTCTAGATTTGTTACGAACTAGTGGGTAGAGCTACATATATAAAGTATGTAGCTAAAAACGAGAGAATCGATTGAATTAGACAATTTAAATGTAGTAAATTAAAACTATAAAATACTTAAAGATGGAGGTGCCGAATGGGGATAGGGATATTGGCTTATAGCAAAATTCTGACAGTCCCGCCGTTTGCTTAGAATTGAGATCTGACAACGACTTAGATATGGAAGTAACATAGTGGGTAAATAGGTCTTACTCTCCGAAGCAGAAGCTGGCTACTTCTCCATAGACAATCACAAATTTTTAAAATGCATATTTTCAAAAAATGTAGCATTCTACTTTTTGCATAAGCCAATAACCATTCCAACAAGCATAAGCACTCAGGAAACTCTAGTAATAAAGCAAACAATCGCTTAATCTAATAGTAATAAAAAACAAAACAATAGAACCCATTTCTCAGGCTTTGTTATCAAGATAAGTTGCCTATCAAATCCCAGCATTTCTCGGTTACTTCAACAAAATGCTGTCACATGAGACATTCATGTACATAAATATTAATCTACTATTGACTTGTTTAGCTGTTTTGTTTTCTCTTTCTTATAGCCTGCCATAAATACACAAAAAAATGGAAAATAATAATTGAAAGCCGAGACAAAAGCCAAAAGCTAAAATACCGGGCGGGTGTGCTGAAATTGCATTTAAATGTTGTTTATACTTGATTTCTGCAAGCGCGATCAACCAAAGCCGTTTTTTTGTTTTTGCAAATTAAATATTGCGGCTGCTGCCAACGAGTTGCACTGCAAATGCGTTCTAAGCCTTTCCCGAGTTATTAATGTGCATATGTGGTCAGTAAGTCAGGCGAGCTTTGTCGGTCGGTTGATCGTGATCAGTTGGCTCAGCATCTTTCGGCAAAGGCACTGAGAGAAAATCTTGCAATATTATAGGAAACTTAAGAAGGAAGGTTTAGTTTGAAAATGGTAAAGGTTAAAACTATATTACTAGTATTCCCAGTTCAATATAACCATAAGTCTTAACTATCTTTCGGTGCACATATAAGCGCGTAATCAGTTTCAAACTGACAAGCAGCACAAATCGGTTAAAATGTTTTATGAGATATTATATGACTTAAGTGCAATCTCCATTTCCACAAGGTGAATGACGATATAGCAAACACCACCAGAATGTAATCATCAATATTTATATAGCTTGTAAATACTCAATTTGAACGTCTATTATTACAGCGATAAGACTGAGTTCAATGGCACAAAAGGTTTTAAATGGAAGCTATAGAAATTAATTGCCAATGAACTTGTTGTTGATTTTCCTGGGAAATTATAATATATATTATATATTAGTTGGTCTGAGCTTTAACATCTATTAAGAGGCCCGCTATAAACTCAAGATCTGAAGCCTTCTTTTGATTTTACCTGTTTTATAGCTTGGCTCATTGCAAGCCGACCAGCAAAGTGATTTATCTTTACATTTTACTCAGGCCAGTTCCTAGGATTTGATTTCTGGTGATCAACTACTCTTTATCCTTTTGTTTCACTTTTGTGTTGTGCTTTCTTCCCACTACTCTGCTCCTGTTTTAACTTCTGTTCTTGTTTACATTTTTTTTTGTAGGGCTTTCCTTTTCAAGCGGCGGCAAGTGTCTAAGCCGATGCGTGAAGCAGCTTGCCGTTCAATTGAATATAAGCAAAAGGAAGAAATTCGAGATACCAGGTTATGATGGAAGTCCATATAACTTGATTTGACATGCAATTAGCGAAAGTGAAAGCGAAGTTGCATTGAAAAATAGGTTTTCGGTTGAATTATCATATTTTATAAACTTTAAAAAGAATTGCAAAAACAGCTTTCTCATCTTAAAATTTTTATGAGTTCCCAGTATTTTCCCCTTTTCAATGATTTTTTTTTCCTCTCAACACCCACCACTAATAAAATACTTTTTTTTTCTTCCTGTTCTTACTGCCAAATAACATAAAAATTCTTAATTATTTTTTTAGTATTTTTTTTTTTCGTTTTGGGTTTAGTTTTGAAGCTTGAGAAAGCTATGCCCTTCAAATCACTGCATTATAAACTGGCGCTCGTTCAACTCAAAAGAAGCGCTCAAGAAGAGAGCAAGAGAGAGACCTCCCGAGAAATCCACGTCGAACGAGAAGTTTAACCAGTGATGTCAATGACAGAAATGACGGGAATAAGCGCTAGAAAACAGAGAGGCTTTCCCAAAAACAAATTTACAGAAGATTTGAAGATAGAATTTTAAGTCAACTGATCAGCACTGAGATGTAGCGTTTCACTTCAGCGGTTGATTGGCGTTCAACCGGTTAACTCAGTTTGTCATTCGCACTCTTGCATGGTGTACTTCAACAAAAAAAGACTACAGAGCCGCCTGACCGCTCGCGTTCTTTCAACTTCTGTACCCCCATTAATGTGTAATCAAGTAGAATATTTGCCGAACCCTTTTTGTTTACAGGCTGAAGGTTCCTTCAACTATATGTTTTTTTGTTTTTGTGTTCCTCTCTGTATTGGTCCATACATATTCAGTATATGTCAAAATATTTTAATCTGTGTGTGTGTTTCTGGAGACCATATAAGTTCAAAGTAATAAAAAAACAAACTAATAGGGAGAGAGAGAAATTTTTGTTTATTGTTGCAATTACACAAAAAAATGCTGAGAAAAAACTAAAAAAAAAAGAATTCAAACAAACAGAAAAAAAGAAGGTGTGCTTCCACTACTCATACTCTTCTCATTGATTCTTCTTGGTGAGGTTATGATCACACACAGCCACACATCAAAACAAAAATAAACAAAATAAATCAAAACAAGAAATAGGGTAGCCCAAAACAAAATTTTAAATCTATCTTTTTTCGTGAATATATTTTTTTGCAAGTTGGGGAATATAGTTTAACAGTGTATATTTGTGAACAAACGCCCCCTTGCTAAACAAAAAAATTGAAAGAACACCTTACCATATATCCCTATCCATTATGTCAATGCTCGTCATCATCGTATTTCGATTATTCAAGGGTTAAATGACGACGAAGAAAACAAATGTTAAACAAAGATCTGCTTTTAGTTAGTTTTTTTTTTAAAAACGTTTTCAGACACCCAAAAGTCGAACCAAAAAAGTCATTCTTACAAAGAGTTGATTTGAAATGTGTTACTAAGTACAGTAAGACTTTAAAATGAACTATGGGCTAGCTATATTTTTTAAGAAAAATATAAAAGATATAAACAATTTTAGTTTATACCGCACTATATGTTCTGCAATCTTCCCAAAGATTTGGTTTTAAAATATATATTGTTTTTTCTCTAAATATTGTAAATTTTGATTGTCAATACTGCAATCATTTTTAACCAACTAGGTCAACTTAACTTAGAAGTTTTAATGGTTTTCAAATGGAAAATGAAACCCAAAAAATATTAATTCTGCTTAAGAAATCTTCTCATAAACCACTTTTCCAAATATGAGAATTTCCATGTTCACACACTTAAGCAAATGCCTACCACTAAAAACAGGGCCAAGTCAATGTTATGAAAGGTTGATCAATTTCATTATTAGTGTATGGAAAAACAAGCAGTGGGCACTAAGAAGCCGAAAACTAAAACCAAATCAACTCTATCGAATTTTCAAGTGATTGAAAGCCTGAAAGTAACCTCAACAATTTTTAAAACATTATTACGTCAAATTACTCAATTCTATTTTTACCTTTTATCTCTTTGCTTTTATTATTGGTTGGATATTATTTAAATAAGCTTTTGCGAGTTGAAGTCGCTTTAACAATATAACATACTGAACTTTTGAAAGATCGTTGATAAAAGTTTTTAACAACAAAACAAACAAATTACTAGAAGCTTGTGGGTCATTTTTAAATTACTATCTGTTCAAATAACGCATTTAGAGTTATAAATGCGGTTTTATATTTAAAAAGTAAAAAAAGAGAGGTTTTTTGAGATATTAGAAGCCAAAGTAAGGTACTCAAAAACTTTTGTTCCAGTTAATAAGATCCTTGTATTCATGTTTTCCTTCAATTTTTCACTTTCAGTTTCACTTTGGAATTTTGAACTTCTGATTTTTCGTTAGTCATGAAAGTTCCCACTTTTTCTTCTTTCCTTATAATTTGGATGGAGTAACTGGATTGTGTTCCAGCTATAGAACCTTATTTTTTTGTATTGTCCTGTAGTGAAGGTCCTTCAAAAGATTGTGTGTTAGTGTAACGTTTGAAAGCTCATTTAATCTTATCAAGAAATCGTTGGCGATACAAGATAGTGATTTGAAACCAATTCGAATCTCAGGCCAAACTGAAGATGTACAATGCCGAATACTCACTATACTAGCATATACCAACGAGATCCACCGCGGGACTTTAATGCCCATTACTTGATTTAATCGAAGTCAATGGTTGCAAGAAAATACATGAAAGTGTATAGTGTTGTGTTTTTATTTTCCAATAGTGGCCAAGCTGCAACTGCAGTTTTTAACAATAACTAAATACATAAGTGGATTTACAGAAAACCAAGCTTGCCCAACAAATGCATGAAATTAAAGTTTTTGAAGGTAACAGAAAGCTAAGGGCCCCACTCTTTCCTCTGTGTCTGTGTTAATTTCAAATCAAACTTCAACTTTCATTGCTTCAGTATGCACATCTTTAAACAAATATTACCTCTAATTTAAGGTGATTTAGAGGCGTAATTTCAGGGTTGAGGTACTTGTCATTCTCATACTCGGAAAGTGTGCGTGAGTTACAAGTTTTCTTTTTTTAGCTTGACTTAGATGCAATTGCAGTTTAATTCAATTTCTAAGCACAGTCCACTCAATGAACGTCATGATTTAATAGGAATCACACCAAAGGGTTGACCAACGTCTGCCAAACAATAAAATTCAGGCCCAGTACAGGGTAACACAGATGCAAGGCTTAGTTTAATAACTATGAATGCACTTTTAGATAAGATAAACTACTAAACGAACCTAAATATAATAAGATTTGCGGTTCTGGACATGTCACTTTAAGTTTGTAATACTATATTCCGCAGATTCTGGAACCCCCCCTATTCAATTCCTCGACTCGTGTGCAAAAATATTTGAACAGTCCGCCACTTGAGATGGAGAGTCCGACTCTTGGCGCCAGCTAATCCTCTCGCGCAAAGAATTGAGTTCTATAAACAACCGGAAATGGCCATAAACAAATAACAAAAGCATAAATGCTTATGTTCGGACGGCTACCAATAAAGACCAACAGACGAAGTCTCCATTTCCCAGGGCCAGAGGATTTCACTGCATTTGCCATACCACAGCGCTATATAGCAAGCGACCTCAAGAATTCAGTGTTGACGAAGGCGGCTGGGGGCAGGCAGGGGATTGGTAGGGCGGGAGTAGGCGAGTGCTCCAGGTGGAGATGGTGTTGACGTTCCAGTGGGTCCCCCTTCCCAAGCAACTTGAAACCAGAGTGAGTGTGTGTGAATGCGATCGTTTGGACAAGTGGTAGCTGATACACTGAGTCGACACTCTGAACTGCCCAAAAAGACTAGTTGGTCGAAATTTGACTCCAAGATCGGAAATCGATCATTCAGTTTTGGGACAGATTACAGGTTTTCCTTATATTTTTCGAGAATGCTCTTCTGCTCTTAATTACTTAACTATTGTTATAATTATTTAAGTAATTTAAAACTTACTTTAGCTATCACTCTTGTGAAACCATTTTACAGATCACCAACGAATGTTTAACATTACAAGGTTTTAACTTTTAACAACTGATCTTGTGCAAGTTTTTACGCAAACTACGGTGCAATGAAAAATGATAATAAATATTACCCCTCCTTATCTTTTCTAACTCTTAAACTCTCTTAATGGCAGGTGTTTTTTTCATACATATAGTACATCCAAGAGGGTATTCCCTAAACAAGGAAGAAAAGTAGGGAAAAATTAACAACATGATTATAGTCATTGGAAGGTTTACGTTCCTCAAATCATAGAATTTTTCATACCAAAACCAGCTAAAAAAGTAATTAAATATTTGTTTAATATCTTAATAAAATATTTTGGTAACTTTTTAGTCCCAACATTGTTGACATTTACCAAATTCTACATTTGCATGGACTGGAATTTGGTTATGACCGAATGCATCAGTGAAAGTACAGCAGCTAAACACTTTTGAATTAGGAGGAGTAATTAATCCATGAAGTATAATGAGACTTTAAAACTACGATGTAGCAAGTAAGTAGAGATTACATCAGCAGTTAGCATAAAAACCAGTTTATATTTTCGAATATACATAAAATACCCCTTAAAAGCGCGCATAGTAGAAAGTAAAGGCAAGAGGTAAGGAGAGTAGAGTATTAAGTGATACCGATGCTAAAGCGATTACAGTGTGGCTGCCCAAAAACACCTTACACACGCACACGCACTGAAACTTCAATACACAAATACAACTAACTCATATGTATGTGCACCTATACTATAGATAAAAGCCTTCAGAGATAAGGCTGGAGCGAATCGGTCTTTATCAGCATTTCACGAACGCTTACGCCGGAGCGGTTTGCAAAACGGAGCGGATGGTAAACACGACTAGAAAATGAACAAGGGACCGGAGAATAAGAAGGCGAAATAACGCAAGACAGAGAGAAAGAGAGAAAAGGAACAGCACAAGTTAATATGAATAATTAACATGGGCGGTTCAGTCGACTTTAATATGCGGAATATTAGAAATCTCAAAAAGGAAGGATCCACGACCTGAATGGCTGTGTGGCTCCTCTTGCACCTTCTAAGCCTTCTCCTCTACGCTCAGGCAGATGTGGCGAAGGAGTTTTTTGTGGGGAATATGGCACTGCATCACCTGCGATTCCAATAACTCTCAAATCAGGTGAGTCAGCTTCATGGAAACTTATGTTTGCATATCGTTTCTAACTGGAAAAGTATAATTAGAACATGATACTGCTGTCATGGAAAGATGACTAACTCACTCAAACTTTGCTCAACTTGATTTAGGAGATATATGTATGTACATAGCTTTAGGTTTAGGTTTACCTAAAATGGTCCTTTCCTTTTGAGTTCAATTTACGAAATATATTACTTTATGGGTAAATACTAAAGCCTAGTATCATATTTCTTCGTGAGCAATCATTGTATCACCTTTTCATCAAAGCAGATATTGCTTTAGATTAGTAATCAAAAGGCACAGCAATGTGTTCTTTATGGAGCAGATGTTTTACTTTGTAACTAGATCCTTAGTTAAATGCATTCCCCCAAACCAATCCCAAGACATTTCCTCACATTCACTAACTTTATAAAATATTCTCCCTAATTTCCAGCCCATGGCCTTGCCACTTTAAGGGCTCTGTCTACATGGTTGAGATTCGCAATTGTCGGGATCTTGTGGTGGATGCCAATCGTCTGGCGGATACAATGGATCTACGAAAGGTTACCTTCGTAATGTGGACAGCTAGTGCTCCGCGAGCATGCACTTAGTGTGCCCGCTATGCCAGCAACAAAGCTCTGATCGTTGAATTCGAACAGACCAACCTCAAGCTAATCGAATCGCATGCCATCAATGGCAACATCGAGGAGATCTCATTCGTGGGCGGAAGGATAGACCTGATGAAGCCCTTCGGCTTCACCACCACCAAGGATAGTGCCATATTGCTCAAGTTAGATGGAGTAACCATACAGCGGATCGAAAGTCAGGTAGGATACAGAATTAATCTTTAGCATTTAAAGATTACTAATTCCGTGATTTTATGGTCAGGCCTTCAAAAAGTTCGCCGTGGAGCAGATGATCATCGCTAACTGCCAGTTCCTGGGCGATCTGCCCACCCGAGCTTTCTACGAACTTGAGGTAACCAACGAGTTGAGTTTGCGGGGCAATCAGTTTCAGGAGATCCACTCCCATGCCTTCTCCTTTAAGCGTAAGTTAACCTTCTTCTACAATGTATTTTTTACTTCATCTTAAGATCTCCCAACCATAATCTCTTCCAGTTGTCTCAAAGTTAAGCCTAAGTGATAATCACTTCGTATCCGTGGATGGCGAGTGGTTGGAAGCCCAAATCCGGGATGCAGTGACTATAAGAGGAAACGATTTTGGAGCCACCAGTGAGATTGCCTTCCGCAGTCTCACCGTTCATCGTTCTTATCAGCTTAGTGAGCACCTGGAACTGCGTTTCCACAACAACAGCCTGCGAAGCTTGCGTCCAGGAGCAGATCCCAGTGTAGATCTGGCAAATGGAGCGGAAGCAGCACCGCAGCCCCTGCGTTTCGACGACAGATTCTCACTTAGCATCCGGGATCTTCGCTATGATAACTCCTGGAACTGTGAGCAGCTGGACAGGAATGTTGAGCCACCATTGCCGCGTGCTGACTTTTTCCGAATTCACAGCGATCAGCTGATGTTCTATCCACCAGATTCCAATGGAGAACGCCAGAGTCATCACTATATGCCACTGCGAATGCTGATCACGGATCAGTGTCGTGAGCAGAGCTATATGGCTTATATAATCTCGGGTAGTGTAATATTGGGATTACTACTCCTTCTGTTGATCCTTTTGCTCTGGTGGCGAGTGGTGCAAAAGCGACGACGCCGCAAACTGGACGTAGTGCAGCCGGAACCGCGCACTTACAAGGAAACCCAGATCGTATACCAAATCGAGAATGCTGGCCTGCTAAAGACTGATTTGTAGACAGACGCCAAGGAAAGACACTAAGAGGAATGTTTAGGCAACCTTTGACCTCGAACAGAACCTCTGAAATCATAGAGACATATAGCTGAATGAAGCTAAAAGAGGAGCGGGTGGTGTGGTTGGAATACTATAGCACCACCCATCATACGGAACCACCAATGCGTGACCTTTCGCTGTACCAAAACCATAGCCTACAGTTAGTCCTTAGATATCTTATTTTAATTATCGTAAATCGTAAATCGTAAATCGTAACTCGTATATCGTATATCGTAATATTTGTCAGTTTTAAGTGGCCCATGTAAATAGTCGCATGTAGTCCTGGGATCTTGCCCAGAAATATCCAGATGGGTTAGCCATATCCCATCAAATACGTACATATATAGATATATGGAATAAATCAAGTTAAAGCCAAAAAGGGACTGCTATTTTGTATCGATTTCTTGCTGAAAAACAAAATTAGATTCTGCAAGTTTTAATTTTTGTGAATGGAAAACATTTTTTTGCTGAAATCAAAGGGCAAATTTAGCTAATAAAAACTTGTTTACAAAGAGCAGATGACGGTTGAGATGTTTACAAAATAAGTTTTGATAGTTTTCCAAAATATTTTTAGAAATTTTGAATGCCTGGCACATGTTTACAAGATAATCTTTCCTATTTCTTAGATGATTTAATCAACAGGCTTTTGAATATATTTATACTTTCTTACTTATTTGTTAAATAATACAGAAAATTAAACTTACCCGATGGGCAGATATGATTCCAAGGCCTGATGCACTGTCAACTGGGGTTCAGATAGAGCAAATCCTTTAGAGAGCAGTGTATGATGGGCATTGATGGTCTCCTCCACGCCGCTCATATCCTCCACATCCTTGTCATCTGTTGTTTTATTAACAAAATGTTTATAAAAGTTCAAAAGATAATCTAAAGTTAATCACCTGGTAAATTAAGCTCCTTCTTCATCAGATTGGCACTGCACATGCCACCCAAATAGGCCAACTCCTGTTCCAGTCTTATTAGACACGAATTGCTGGCATTAATCTGAGCGAGATAGATAGACATGGTTAAGAAAGAGATAGAGATATAATCTAACAAAAAGACTCACCGATGTGGGATTGTCATAGCCAACCACTAGGCACTTAAAGCCACAGCGATTGTTGTGCGGATCCTGAGCATACAGTGAGGCTGTTTCCAAAGAGAACTCCACGCAGTTGCCGGGCAGGATGAGGACATTGTGAAGCCAAGTGGAGGCCCTAAAAGATAAGAGATTAAGTTTAGCTTGGATTCCATCTTCCTTCGATATATTTCTACTTACGTATTGAACTTCTTCACCACAATCCACTCCCTGTCATTGGGATCCTGACTGCGTAGAGGAGTCAAACTTGGGGCCGTAGCACATCCCGGAGCATTGCCACCCCCTGGACTGCGACAACAACTGGCCATGGTCAATTGGACACTAGCAGAGCGTTGGTGTGTATTTGGTGCTGCCCACTGCCAGCGATTCCGCCGCCAGTTGTGCGTCTTCTATCAGCCGCACCCTGTACATTGTCCGCCTGCTCCAGATAATCATCCACATGCGGCACTGGCGGAGCCTGTGATGCTGGACGCATGGGAATCGACAAAAGCAGGTAATCCTCCAGCTGAGCTGTGCCACACTGCGGATCAAACTCGATGGTCAGCCACTGAACGCAGGGTGGGAATTCCACGCGATAGCTACTGATGCTGGCACTCCTGTACGGATGTTCACTCTCCACCAAACAATAGTGGTTACTGGTGGTGCTACTCGAACTGGAGCCAGAATTGGAGGTCTGTGTAGCAAAGAGTGCCGGTTCCGGCTGACGTTGATCCTTGGACACGTGCAACTGATTCAGGGCAGCGATATGTGGCAGGATCTCCTTGATAAGACCCAAAATCTGGACGGAGCTCTTCGGATCACTGCACGCCAGATTGGCAATGTGTGCATAGACCAGTGGGGTAATGTATGGAACATATTGGAGGCGGCCAGATTGAAGACCTCCAGGAGTTGCACGGCAGCCACTTGGCTGCTAACACCTCCTCCTCCAGCCGATCCACCTGCCACACTTACTCCGCCACCAGCCATGCCGGCCACCTCCAGCGGAGCCTCCTCCGAATCGGAGTGCAGATGCTGTAGCATCGACTGCTGAGCTGGTTGTTCGGCGATCTCGAAATCCGTGGTTCTCTCATTGCCATTAATCGGAACACTTTGACTCTGACTTTGGCTTTGGCTCTGGCTTTGGCCATTCCTTAAATCCGCCGATTCCTCCACTTCGGTGGCGCCAATCTCGATTTCCATCTCGAAGGGATTGGTAGATCGCTTGTCAAACTTTAGGGTCTCCATTAGACCCTTCGAAAAGGACTCGATGCGTTTGCCCAAATCCCTGGCCGTGGACAGCTGAGGATCGATAGCCGTGGGTAGGGCAGCTGTCCCTTGAATTATTTGCCCAATTGATGTCCATGTGCTCCTCGATGGGCGTGATATTGTGCTCGGAATCGATGGTCTGTGTGTGATTTGAACTATTATCGGAGGGCGAACAAGATGCAGCCATGGCATTTCTGGCCAGGATCAGTAGTTCAGTACATTTCTTGGTAATATCAGCGGCGATTTGCAGAGCTGTATCTCGTGTGGAGACCTCATGCGGTCCAAGCAGCATCATCCTCTCCTCCATATGAGTTGCGACATTGGGTCCATCACCAGCTCGTCCGCTAGCCGAGTTTCCATCCTGTTTCATGGGTGTGCTATAGTACAGAATGCAGGGTAATTGACCCCTGGCTGGAGTGGTTCCATTGAAGCTCAGATCACAGGCATAGAAATGAAACTGGGCGCCACATGGTCCTCGAACTGCTGGCATTCCGGCATCCCCAGAACAAGTGCGCGCCCCCTGCGAGCACAGCCTTAAAAGCGTAGCGAGCATTCTCCTTGATATGCACTGGATGATCGAACTTAATCTCCGCCAGATCGTTATGAACGGCATCCTGATCGTAGCTTCCCGATACCGATTCCAGGGTCTCCCACTTGTGCTGCGGCTGCAAATCTGCCGTATTATCATACAGCAACTCCAACTGATAGTCATAGCTTCCGGATCCCGAGTAAACCATGGCGCCAGCTATGGCCACACCAGGTCGATCCACGGCAAAGGCAATAGCATCGGGTCCAAAGTTTCCCGTATTCCAGGGTGCGACTCACATCGCAGCGGGCAAAGCGAGCTCCCGTTGAATGTAGCGTTCTTGGAGGCATGAACAGCTTGTCATATTCACCCATCGCCGTTTGATAGACAATCTCAGCCAGAACTCTGGCCAGCAGATGACAACAGTTGTCTATTAATCCCTGATTAACACACTCCTTGCCACCTGGATAACTGCCTCCAAGACTTCCAAGACTCCGACTGTAAATCGTTTCGATGCGGGAACGTATGGGACTAGCGATTATGTCCAACAGACGTACAAGAACATCCTTAAATGTCCAGGAATTACTTAGAAAATCGCTCTTCTCCTGCTGCGTGCGGTAGATCATTTGCTCCACTAGCACTGGATACGGATGTGTATCTGTGGAGGAGAGCATGGGCAAGCCAGAATTATCGCTGGGACTGATAATCGACTGACGTTCGTTTCCAGCTGCATTGAGAAGCGAGAATGTTGCCCTGAGCTTCACCGATGGAGAACAGAGTCCTGCGAGAATGGCACTTAACAGGCGGGAATGCAATGCTCCACGATCCATCTGGGCGAGCAAATCGCACAGGCAGTTCCACTTCAGCGAGGATGTCGGATAGAATGCATCGAAACAGGCCACAAAGCTCAGATGACACTCGTCCAAGATCTCCAGTGAGAGTTCATAGCCTGCAAAAGTAAAATGGATCATTAGAAATGTTTTTAGATATCTTCCAGGCTAGAAGCGCACCCTCGTCCGTGGCTATATCCTTGAAGATGTCATCACAAAAGATGCCAATCAGCAGGGCCCTAACATTGCCAATACACTCCGCCAGCTGTATGTTCTCCATATTCGTCTTCCGAGTCATAGGAGTTCCGCTGCCCGGTGCCGCCGCTGCCGAAGCTGATGTGGATGGTGCTCCTCCGCTTCCGCCACTGCTAATCATGGCTGGAGCCACCGAAGGTGATGGGTCACCAAAGTACTTGGCCATTACGGCACCATTGCCCACAACACGAGGAGCATTTTTATCTGTGGAGTAAAGGTAATAGAAGAAATTAGTAAAGGAATAGGTTGTAATTCATGAAATCATCACCTTTGTTTGCCTTAGACTGGATCATCTTGGCAGTGGTCACTACGCCACTACCATGAGCTGCATTAGAGCCACCACCAGTTCCCACTGACGTGGAGGAGTTCCTCTGCGGATAAATCTCATTGGTGTACTTGCGAAGCAGGCGCAGACATGACTTGATGACATAGCCGAGGTACTGAAGCGACTGCTGCAGCTGCAATGGGCGGGAACGATCCCGCTCCTCGCGCAGCTGCAACTTGAAGCAATCCCAGGACCAACTAAGCAAGACCACTAAACTCTCGAAGCACTCCCGACTCACGCTGTTGGCGAAGGCCCGGGAAATACGCTGCACAGGATCGGCGTCCATTTGGGCCGGTGTCTGCTTGCAATCCTGAGTAACCAGACGATACAGAATGGCCGGTATCTGACCAGAATTGACATCGGTACCATTGTTGGCTTTCTTGCTGGACTTAAAGGAGAAGACCACCTGATCTTCGGTGGTCACTGAAGCCTGGCCACACGATCCGCAATCGGAGGAGGGACCTGCAATCCGAGCCCACACCAGGTACCACCTTCCAGCCACTGCACTAACCGGTTTGGGCAGAAGGATATGATGTTTACTCCTGGCGCCACACTCGTACGGCACCTCCTTGGTCTCACTGATTAGAATGCCTTCCTTCTCATAGCCTCCACCATCGCCGCCCAAATCGAAGAGCTTCAGCTTGCAACTGTACTCCCCGCGTCCACCGAACATCCCGAAGCCACAGATCACAATATCGGTGTCCGATGAGAAGCGTATGGCTTCTACACTATGTCCGGAGTAACCCCATCCGCCGCCAAAGTTATCAAAACGGCTGACCACTTGGAATTCACCAGCCTGCGTCTCTGCTGTCTGTTGAGTTTGCTTCAACAGCGGTTGCTCAAAGCATCCAGGGATGTTGTCCTGTGCCGACGTGAGGATGTCCAAGCAGGCGAGTAAATTCAGGGAGGCTTGCGAGCGGGCCACACGGGAATCCACCCGGTCAGGCAAAGATAATTCCGGTGATAGCAAGGATCGATATGTTGCCGAGTTCTGAAAGAGATCAAGAGATTATAGAGGCAACTAGACACTCACTTCATCGTCTAACTCACCGCATCGCTCTCGTTGATGTCACTGGCCACCACATTGTGACAACGTAACTTTCGTGCTGCTCCATCGAAAACCCATAAAACATTATAGGTGGGATCCATGGTAAATGCCAGTTGTGGTGGCGATGGAATGGGATCAGGGGTACTAGCTCCCTGCTTGCCACCACGACGTGATCTTGGCACAGATCCTGCTACCGCCGCTGATCCCGGTGTACCAGGAGCTGCTACTGCTGGTGGTGGTGCTACCGTTGCTGTGGACGATCCTACCTCCGGTGGCTGTTCTTCAAAGATCTGATTCCTGGCCTCGTGCATACTTCGAGACATCTGCTCGTTGATGGGCACACCAGCCGTGGCTGTAGCCGTCATGGCCGTTAGAATGGCTGAGGTGGAGGCATGAGCTGGCGAATCCGCAACTGGAGTAACAGCCACATCTAGATTGGAGTTGATCTCTGGCTGCTGTTGTTCCGGATGGGCCTGCATCAGTTTCACAAAGTTGGTTTGTCCTCGATAATGAGCCGTACAACTTCCATCCCGGCGATTTATGGAAAGCGTATGAAAGGATAGTGGAATGCTAGGGATGAGCACTGTTCCAATAGAAGGATAAAAGGAAGATTAGCATTGATTTTTAAGGTGCACTTTGAGTTACTTACATATCGTCTTCTTGTTGGCCACCACATGCATCTTGGGCAGCATCTGTGCCGTGATCAGGGATTCGTCTATCTTGATAAAAGTCTGATCGCCATTGGCTCCTATCCAGGTCACCTTCTTGCCATAGCAGGGACCCAGACCACTGAATAGTTAAAAGAAAGTCAAGAGTTAGCCAGTAGTGACCACTATATAAATATCCATTAAAGTATTTCCTTACAAGACAGCTCCAGGCGAACAGTTCCAGAGAAACTTCTGACGCTGCGTAAGCACCGGCATCAGCGGAGGCATCTCCTTGGAGCCACTGGGTTGAACGGTGGCTGGTGATTGAGATCGTTCTGGTCCAGGCATTCCAACTGGCGCAACTGTTGGTGAACCACTAGCTCCCCCATCAGATCCTGGTCCCACTGGAGAATCATCATCCTGGGGCGGAGGCTTCAGTCCATAATCACTGGGCAGCCGTCCCAATTGTCCTTTTTGGTAGTTGCCGAATGTGTAAACCATTCCCTTGGATGTCAGCAGTACAGTGTGATTGCTTCCAGCGGCCACTTGACTAATGGCTCCAGAAACCTGGACGCGCACTGGTCCGCTTACCGGCTGCAGGTCTCCACTGCCCAACTGACCATATTGATTGCTTCCAAACGTATAGACTTCACCAGCCAAAGTTAGCACCACCGTGTGGTGCAATCCACAGGCCACCTGAACCACAGGCGATGAGCTGGTGAGCTGCAACAGCTGTGGTGCTAATGGGGCCACTCGAGGTGGATCCTTATCCAAGTCAGTTGGCGTGGCAGCACCTCCGCCAGCTGCTCCTGTTTCCAGTTCACCCTTACGCTCCTTGCGGCGCATGATAAGCGTTTTGGAGCGCTGCTGGCGCTGTTGCACGTCACTTGGTGGAGGCTTCAGTTCTGTTTTGGCTTCTGCAGGTGGAGATAAGAGATAAATATATAAATGGAACCTTTTTTAGCCTAGCAGATTGACTTACCGTCGCTATCTTGGAGGGCAATGCAGGCGGCGCACAGTCCACACTTGGCACAACCCGCATCTCCATGGCCACAGGGACATATACTGCCCGCCAAACGCTGATCCAGTGGGACATTCAATGCGGAGACACAACTAACATTATATCCAGTGCATTCCCGACAAATGACGCACACGCGGCACTGACCCTGCACCAGATTATGATCGTCGTAGTCGCACAGCGTGGAAAAGTCCAACTTTAAGCGCTTGTCCAGTGGCAGCAAAGATGCAAAACAGGCGGCGGCCGTTGAGGATGAGGCAAACGGTGGCACATCCTTCACCGGCTGCAACTTGTTGAATATCCTGCCGCACTGGCCCTTATTATTCAGCCCGAACGAGAAGAGTTGTCCCTTGGCGTTGAGGGCCACACAATGGGCTTTGCCCAGCGCCACTTTGGTCACATGCTGATCCAACAGCTCACTGACAAAGCCCATGGCATCGCAATGAGCCGTATCCTTGCCGTACATTATAAGTTTTCCGGTTTTTGTGACAAAGGCGGAGGTGCCATTATTACAGGCAGCATGCACAACCACATGGCCATCGATCTTGGTCATCTTCTTCGGCTTTACCGCCTTCGGTTGTCTCCGGTTTTTGCTGCTATCTCCATCTTCACCGCGACGAGCTGTACCAGCAAAGAAGACAGTTCCATCATCGTTGACCAAAAGAGCATGAATGCCATCGTGTCCCACGGCTACATGGACTATATTGGCCGCCTTGGAGATGACCAGTTCGGTGAGTTTGAGTGTCGGGGTACGGCCCACACACTTCAGTCCCAGAGCTGCAGATTTTCCGTAATAATACACCCTGCCATTGCTGGCCCGCACCAGTCCAAACTCCTTTCCGCAGGCCATACCCATAACATCCACATCCGCATCTCTGCAAGGAGCCGGTAGCTTTGGCTCGAAACTATTGTGGGCCGATTGGATGCGTTGGATCTGATACTGATTGAGCAGCTCATCTTCGAAAGCAGCATAGCCCAAAGTACGAAACTTCTTACGGGCCAACTGCAGGGGCAGCTCAAAGGGTGGCGGGTCAATGTTGTAGCTATTGTGGTACAGATTCAGTTTCTTAACCACCAGTGTATCCTATAATAGAAATTTCAAATATTTATAAGTTTTTCATCAATTTTCTAAGCTTAAACTCACATCACGGTTACTGCAGATGGCGTGCAGTGAGTCATCGTCCGTGAAGAGCACATAGTTAAGTCCTTCGCGCATGTGCAGCATGCTCAATGGACTCATTGCTTTGATGGCCAGTGTGTCCAGGCCCACCATTTGCAGCTGGTCGCCAGCGCTGCGGCGACAAGTGCGCCGGAAGTAGAGTTGCCCGCCACTGTAACCCAGCCAGGCACTCCTTTCATGACTAAAGTCCTCGTTCTGGGCATAAACGTGTCCCTTGTAGGAGCCTCCAAAGCCAGTGCCAATCTTCAGCAGGGTTCCGCCATAAAGTAAGTACACAAAGACTCCATCACAGGCCATGGCTGGTGAAGTAATAGGAGCACCCGTGCTCAAGGGCGGCAACTTTAAGGGAAACTAAAAAAAGATTTCGAAAATGGATTCATTTTAGTACAAGCTGGACTCCCCCTGAAGCAACCTTCAGCACTCACCTCATCAATCAGCGAATTGTGCGGCACCCCGTGGCTATGAAAGTCCGGCCTTGTTGGCTTATTCAGCGCTGCACTGACCACGGTGTGCTGCAACGTGGCCAGAACCACCGGCAGCTGGACAATCTGTGCAGAAAGCTGTCGCGGTGTCATCAGCATGGCGGCAATGGCCTTGAGCATTTTGCCCGTATCGCCGCGGGCAATGCACAGTCCCAGGAGGGCAGCACAGGCCATGGCCGACCAGTTGGCCTCCGCACCCGTTGCCGAATTGAGAGCAGCCGGCATGGTAGCTAAATCAAGGAGGAGATCGTACAACGGATTAATTAGCTCCTCCGGTTCCAACTTGAAGCTCTCCGGTTGCTGGCCTTGGATGACATCCAGTAGTGCCTTCAATGCCTTAGTACACAACAGCGGATGTACATGCCGGGCATCGGCTATCAGTTCGAAGAGACTACGCAATCCTGCACCTACAATCAGGGGCACTGTGGCATAGACGGGCTCCCGTTCGGTGGGCTCCTCCGTATCCGAATCCGCATCGCTGTTGGCGCTATCTCGACGCGGTCGCTTCTCAGCCGGCAGTCCTGGACCTCCAACTACCACAGGCACTGGAGCCGGTACCCGACCGTCGATAATTACACCAACAGGTCCACCAGGAGCTGCATTTCCTGGACCCAGTGCTCCGTGCATGGCCAAGTGGGCATGACAAGGGCAATCGAGAATATTGCTAACCATACAACTGTGGGCACACATCATGCAGCAGGATGGGTTTACGTTATTGCTCCACTTTTTTACGCTCGATCCGGACTGGCCACTGACTGCTCCACCTTCCTGGAACAGGGAATACCGCGTCTCAGCCTCCAGAACCGTTGATCTAATCGCTGAGAAGACCGCAAACTTAGATGCATTCGGATCCAGTTCAATGTGCGCCACTGGGAAGGAGGGCAGGATCATCAGTTGTTCCTTGACTAGTGGTGGATCCAATGGATTCACCAAACCACCAGCTCCTGCATTACCCTCAAGAACCGCTGCTGCTGCTGCCGCGGCCATAGCTGCCGCTGATTTGTCTTTCCGACTTTTACGCTTCGTTAACACCTTCCGATCGTGTTGCATTTTTCTAAAAGAGTTAAAAATTAAAAATTATTTTGATTAATAATGTGATTTAGGAACATGTTATGTTAAAGACACCAGCACTATTAAAGATATGATTAGAAAAATGTGTATCTAATAACTCCTACACTTAAAAAACACTTGAAAAAAGGCATTAGGCCTTAACTTTGACCTTTAGTACATTCATATATATTATGTTTGGGTTTTTAACAGGTGTTTTGATTTCATTTCAGTAACCCTAATCATAAATTCATAAACTCACTGATAACCTTTAACTGAATTTTTATATCATGACTTACATGGAAAAAAAAACTTTTGAAATAAACAATTAACTTGGGAGACTACTCGAACTATAGGTCATAAATCAAAAACGCATTTCAACAAACTGAAAAGGCAAACAAGCTTAAATTGTCGAGGTCCTGGCAAGGAATTTGCATTTGTTTTTGTTGTCGAACGGGAAGCTTTTTGCTCTTTAGTGGGCTCTTATCAACTTGGAAGCTTTTGTGCAGGATGCTGGTCGCTATTTTTGGACAGGACGACAGTTGCATCCACATACTCCTTCCTACAATATATAGTATATATTGGCCAGCATAGGTGCAAGCTTTAAGATGTATGTACCCATACAGCCGTGTGCATCCCGAACTTTACATCCTGCAGCTGACAGGTGGTTTCGAATACTGCTTGCCTCATTTCAAATGCTAGTTCTCAACTTGTGCCGCAAATTGCTGGCTTAAAAAGTTTTTAAGCTCCTTGAAGATGTTGGTATTGTCAGTGGTAAATGAATGGCTCATAAAATGTGGATTTGTGGGTGGAAAAAAGACAATTTATATCTCAATATATTCGATATATAATTACTAGATTCAAAAGATTAATAAAATGATAGGTGGGTGATCAAAGATCAAATACACAAAAAATGTTAAGTTTTAACTGAAAAATCAAATGTTGGATTAAAATGTTGGACCCAGTTTAGTGTATAAAAGCGTAAAAATTCTCCTGTAATTTCCTAGTAATTAAATAGCTGACGAATTTCCACCCATATAAGGTGCAAGTCAATTAAAACGTTCAACACTTTCTTGGTAAAATCGATTTTCTTAAGCTGTGTTAGTATTTTGCCAATTAACTGATGTCCAGGTGTTCAATTAAAAGTTTTTTTGCCTGCCAAGACACCTTTACTTCAAGGTTTTTTTTGGGTTAAATATACTCCCAATTGGACTTTCAAAATTATCTTTTCTTGTACTTATTTTAGGATTATTTTAATATTTTTATGAACGTTAAAAGAGTTTATCAACAATAATACTTTAAATAAACGTTTGTGAATTTTACAATTGACTAAAAGTTTGAATATGTAAATTTGTATCCAAGATAATGATAAGACTTCCAATATATGTAAAGACATGTATATATTTTCCCTAAAAGTTTGATATGGTTTCCCTTTTAAAAATGTACTTTTTGGCGGTTTAACGGGGTGGTGACAACTTTAATGCCGCACCGCCACCCCCGACGGCCATCAATGGGTTAATGCAGGTCGCGGCGCTCTCGACAATCAGCTGATTGTGAACACCGCTCAGCTGTTCGGCGCAGGACTGTCCACTTCCGCCCGTTGCAACCCCCAAAAAAGTCAGGGGGTGCTCTGACATCGGAGAGCGTATGCGAATGTCTAGGGGTTGAAGACCCAGATTGGAAGCCGAAGCCGAGTGCAGCGATCGATTTTTCCACCCCGTGCTTGGATATGATGTCCAGGATGTAAGGGGTGGTTGAGGGGGGTAACAGGACTTTGGGACATATAGTTATCCAGATGCTGGCGGGGATTACCTGCGCGTGCTGTTCGTGTACAGCTCGTAGAAATGGTCGCCGTACTTAAGCGGATTTAGTAGGCCTACCATTTTGGCCCGATTTCCCTTTAGATCCAGTGCTTCAATCGATATTTTCTATATATTCTAATATTCCGTTACCGTTGCCGTCTGCCGTTACAACGATTTGCTCGCTCTCGTTCTCTCTCTCTCGCGCTTTCCCTTTTCTTTTTTGGCTAATGATTTCTATTGCACATCGGTTATTAAACAAAATATGAATTAACAACTAGTAATTAACTATTTTGACGAGCATCGTCTGGTGTTTTCAGTGCCCTTTGTTTTTGCCATTTGCCTTTTGTCACTTTTGTCGCGAAAAAAAAAAACACACACCGAACGACAACGCAACGGTACAATGGAAACGAGAGAACTGAAACTTTGGACATCGCCTCTCTCAGCCCGCGCGCTGTGTGTTGTTGTTCTCGTTTGGCAGTCTCGCGCTCTTCTTCTTGCCGCTTCCTGGCAAAGAGAAAACGCTCAGCTGAGTTACCGCCTGTCGGAGACAGTGTTGGACAGCGAATGGAATGTCCTGTTTTGAAATTTAAATCATAACGGACGTTAAAAGCTATTTCACTTATGTTTTAACTAAGTCTTTTTCTTTAAACAAGTTTTTAATGAAAAAAATAATAAAATGTTTTTTTCACTTTAAATTTTGATTATAATTATGGTTGATATTACACTCAAAATTTACTTATTTATTTTTGCAGTGCAAAATAACAAGAGCACAGCCCGACAGCAAACTTAACTTATTGCTAGATTGCTTGCGGCATGCATATGCCCCTCGGCTTATGCAGTGAAAATAAAAAAATGTTTGCCACCTACCTTGATTTCCGGCTTGCTGATGTCTATCGATGGCATCCATCCTATATGTATATCCAGCATCACACGTCATCAAAAGGCCAGCACATCGATTTCCAAACAAAATCCATAATGCACTGCATCCTCCATGGAAGTCATGTCCAGGTGCCACCAATATGATACGGTTTACCACCGGACCACTTGGATGCACTTGGAAGCACTGTACTAGAAGACACACACACACACACACAAAATGACTTGACTGATTTTTCACCGGCCAGCAGCGCCCTAGTCACAACATTTCTGCTAGAATCTGTTGGGAATTACAAGAGCCGCGGACGGCACACGGTTAACTTGAAGTTAACTAACATAACCGTTAATTGCTGTTTAGCATTCAAAACTTAACTGGCAGTTAACTTGCTATTAAAATTTACAAATTTCCGTTAACATTCGAATCCTTTCGCTGCTAACAATTTTTAAAGTTTTGGTCAATGAAAAACACCCTTTCTGATCTTTTATAATCCTTATAATCCCATAACTAAGGCAATAATCGTCCAAATATAGAATGTAATAAGTTGTTAAAATTGCATTTTAATTTCTATTGTCAGCATTTCGAATCGTTGTGCTTTTCATTTCAAAAATACGTTAAAAAGTGCCAAACATTTACATCACCCAGCTGTTTTTTCAGTGCTGTAAACCGCCGTGGAGCCCGTAAGCTGGCAACTTTGGTCAGCAGCTGTCACTTGCAACAAAAACAACTGGGGGGCCGGAAGAAGAAGAACTTTGACAGCTGCGCCGCAATCGAAATCGAAGAAAAACATTTTACGTAATTTATTTGTGTCAATTTCAATGATTTTCAAAGGAACTAAACAAATTTTCCCTTGCCAGCAGGATGGGCAACGCGCTGACGCACTATCTGAAACCGGACGTAATGCCCGGTCCGGATGTGGTGACCACCTTTGACCCAATGCTGGGCTTTGAGACGCGCAAAGAGCGTGTGATGATCGCCACCCAAGAGGAGATGGAGTCCGCTAAACTGCCGCTGGACGCCCGTGACTATTGCGCCCATCTGGCCATTGCCTACCAGGCCTGCCGTACCGATACCTTCCCGTTTGTGTACAAGTGTGCCCACCAGAAGCACGAGTACCTTACCTGCGAGTACGAGGACTATGTTCTTCGCATGAAGGAGTTTGAGCGGGAGCGTCGACTGCTGGAGCGCCAGAAGCGCCTCAACAAGGCCGCCTAGGCTAAGCTAGTTATCCTCAAAATCCCCTCCCGTTTACACCACCAGGAGACAAACCTGGCCGCGGATCCACTGCCACTGCCCCATGTTGCAAGCTAGTTTCCTGCGGAAATGTCAATAAACAACTCCATGCTAGTAATAATGCGGATCTGCTAACCATTTTTTTTTATTAGTCATTAAACGATTGAAAAACTGTCCGAAAAACATGCGAGTATCAAGTGGAACAACGATTTGAAATGGAGTTAAGTGGAATAGCTAAAGGATAAAGGTGTGAGAACTATTGGAACAACTAAAATAACACAATACTTAAACGGATTAAATTGATTGAAAATCTTATATATATAATTATGATTTGAATCTGCTAATAGGAACTTATTATTATTTGACCCAAAATTAGTTCAGGTGGAAGTAATTAGGTGGCATAATGAAGCTACACGTGAAGGAAACTCAAATAAAATTTGAATTTCCCTTTAAACTATATTTAAACTGTTTATGAAATCGTCTAACCGGTAATCAAGTAAAAAACCTTGAAACCCTTGCGACAACTGAAAGAGCTTAAGAAAATTGTTTAGAGTCGACTCAAAAAGTTAAATGGTGCTTCCTTAATTAACTCTATTCTTATTTGAACCAATTGGAAATGCACATATGTATGTGTCTTATTCATTAAATAAATTCGTAGTGCACCTCTTTAATGCAATTTTCGTGTTCACCTTGAAATGATAATTGAAATACAATAGTTTCTTTATCTAGCCACTTGGCAATTTCAAGAACCTTTTTACCATACAATACAATTTACATAAGATAACAGAAAGATGTTAATTTATTGAAAAGTATCTTCAAAAAATCATAATTCCATTTCTTCTTATAAATATTTTGGGAAATTCATAAATGTAAGAAGAATTTTAGAATGTAAACATAGCCTATTGGCGGTGCTAGGAATTCTTAGGATATACCCTAAGACGTTACTCTGTAACCTTTTCTTTAAGGGCTAAACAATCGCTGGAATATATATTGAAACACTTCATTTTCACTGGTTCCTGGCAACTTTAAATTTAATATCAAACTCATCCTCTGGCTTAATCGTAAAATTGCTTTCGTTTAACAATGCCTAAAACATGCGCGCACACACAACACACCCCATATATCACAAGCACACACCCGCATATCTATAAATATACGGAATACTATCTCTCGGCTACATAATACATGATATTATATGTATATATAATATATATATATATAGAAACTAACGAACTACTAATGATGATGGCAAGTTCTTTGCTTTACTTTTTTAAATTATTTTCTAACTAGTGGGAATCCAACTGCCGGATGGCATTTAATTAATGGACATCTACTCAATCACTAAATGCATCCTCGTTGCTCCGGCACGCACATCTTTGGTAGAGGCTTCTCCTCGACACTGAACACTGGATCGACCCATCAAATGCCCAGTTTGCGCCACATCTTGTGCATTCGTCCATCAGTGGCAAAGATGCTGCGCAGCATGAATACTTGAATGAGACCCACACCGATCATGGCGCTGATCTGTAGCATGGACCAGTGGTTAACCTTCTGGAAATTGGACTCAGCCAAATTACGATCACGCGCCTCGTGCGATCGCAGGACATCCTGTAGCTGGCGCGCTTTGTTGAGCTGCAGACGAATGCGTCCAATAAAGTCCATGATGTCCTGCACCTTCATATCATAATACTCATCTCGCGAAAGCCCGGTTAACTCATCCACCTCGTTCCACTGGGTGTCGCCATGGAACTGCTCGCCCTCCCGCTCCACAATTAGTTCAAAGAACACCGTCTTCCGGTTGAACATACTGAAACTGTTGTCGAAACAGAACCGATAGTCCCCCTCCTTGGTCACGTCATGCCGATGTACGTTCTCCGGTTTCTTGAAGTCACTGACTATTACCAAGCCAATTGGGTCCAGCAGGGTGAAGCTGATGTCCAAATCTCCATGACCGCCATCGATTACCTGGTATTCAAAGTCAATAGTCTCGCCTTCGCGTACTGTGTGGTACAAACACTCAGTTTTGCCGGCGTCCACATAGACAGTCATCTCCTTGTCGTAGGCCTCCGCATCCTGGACTACCAGAAGAAGTCCTGCGACGAGAAGAGTTAGGACCAGTCCTGCCTGCGTTCCCTGTCAAAAATTAGATGCAGTGACGCAAAATATAATGAGTAATGAATGCTAAATTTAGCCGGCGTTTATCTTACCGCTTCCATTGTGAGCTGCTTGGTGTAAAATTAAAAAATACAAAATTCTTACTCGCCACAGTGTGCCCAGTGGCAGTCCACAATATAAAATTTAACTGAATGGTCACACTTCCCGCGTATGGTCACCGTGGACAAGCCAGCTATTTTATAGCCAGATTTGGCTGTGTTCACTGTGTGCCGGAAATTGGCGAATGCCTGGCAACACTAATAATAACATGTAACGGACTGTTGTAATGAGCGCCAAATTTAAATTGGAAATCAAAAATAAACACAAAACAATCTCTGTTGCTAGATTTCTTAATATGTATATAAGCACAGGACATGTTTTTAAGTCATTGAACTCAATATATTTTTGTAGAAAATATAATAAACAGTAGTGTTAGGTTCAAAAAGTAAAATATTAGCCAGTGGCTTACATATAATGGGTTAAATATTTAAATAACAGTTTAAAAACAAAGTCATTTAAAACAAATACCTCAAACCTTTTTAATGTGTATTTAATTTACCGTAACGCTATTAACGTTTTTTAACCAGTGGCTTAACGGAAGGGATTTTAGGAGGCCAAATCGCCCCTAGCAAGGTAAGGCATGCACAAATTCAACACTAAATACAAAATATATAATTAAGACAATTAATAAATTAATTAAATGTATTTCGAAACCTTTTTAATTAGTATTTTTTGAATAGAACACTAATTTGCAGGGTCACACTGTCCATGCCAAGAATAAGCTCAAAAGAAAGCTTGGAAAAATATTAAAAAAAAACGTCAACAAAAAAGATTGGAAAAGCCAGGCGAAAAAGAGACAGCTAGACGGGATTACATGTTGTGATTGAGTGATCACACTAGAAACGTTCTGCCACGAAGAGGTTATATTTACAAAAAATGAAGATTCGAACCAGGAGGAGCCTTTCCTTTGCCGGCTGTGGATTCCTTGGCATCTATCATGTAGGCGTTGCGGTCTGCATGCACCAACACGCTCCCCAGCTACTGGAAAGGATTGCCGGTGCATCTGCCGGCGCATTGGCCGCATGTTGCCTGATCTGCGATCTTCCGTTGGAATGCATGGCTGAGGATTTTATACGGGTTGTCCAGGAGACGCGACGCCACTCCTTGGGTGCCTTCAGTCCGTGGTTTAATCTGCCGGAATGTCTTCTCGAAGGGATGCACCGCTGTTTGCCAGAGGATGCCCATCAACGGGTCAGCGGAAGACTCCATATTTCTCTAACCCGCGTAAGTGATCGCAGCAATGTGGTCATGTCAGACTTTAGCTCCCGCCAGGAGCTACTTGATGCCCTCATGTGCACCTGCTTTATTCCCGGACTCTCTGGATTTGTTCCTCCACAGGTGGGTTTCTTTTTAACTTTACGATCCGTAAATATTTCTGAGTTTAAACAATATTGAAAATATGATTAGTTTGAGTATCACAAAAAAGATATATTATACACACCTCTTAAAAAATCCATAGATATTATGGAAATATTAAAGTTCATTCGATGGGCGGACTTTAAGACTTTATCGGAATCGATTACCCGTAAATCAAAATAGTAAACCATAATAAAGGTCTGATTGTAAAAACTTTATGTTCATATATCTTATCAGGTCCGAGGAGTTCGTTATATGGATGGCGCCTTCTCCAATAATCTGCCTTTGCTCGACGAGCACACCGTGACCGTGAGTCCCTTCTGCGGGGAAAGTGATATATCCCCAAGGGATCAGAATCCTCATCTCCTGCAGCTGAATATTAATTGGGCGAATACTTGCATCCGGTTATCCAGAAGGAATTTGCGGCGCATGGTGCGCATCTTGTTGCCGGGTAGAGCCGACTTCATGGCCAATTTCTGTCAGCAGGGATACGATGATGCGTTGCATTTCCTGCACAGGAATAGCCTGCTCGAAGCTGGAACCAAAATTCAGGAAAAGGCCATGATCATTTGGATTCACCAGCAGGAGAAGAAGGAACAAGAGCGTTTTGAAAAGCAAAGGGCTCTTGAGAAGGAGCAAATGAGTCTGAAAACTATAAAGGAAAAGGTTAAACAGGATAAGGAGCCACAAGATCGGGTTGATACCAAGCGAAGGAATCGTAAGCAGAGATCTCAAAGGAGATCTAAGAAAAATCAGAAAAGGAATTTAAAAAGTCAGGAGAAGGAAGTAAGGTTTCCAGATCTCCAGGATCACCAAGAAAGCTTTCAGACTCCGACAAAGAACAATCATCTGGCGAAAACGCCCAATCGGATACCCAAGAAGGAACATGATCACTATGCCAGCTCCCTTATAAGCTCAGCCTGGTCATTTCTTCGTCGCGTGATGATCGCTCCGCCGCTGGCCAGGCACATGGTCCAAATGATCGCCAGTCGCATCAGTCGGAGTCTCACGCTTTGCGAGCAGCCGCACTTTGATCTCGCTCTGATGCAGACACCACCCTCCTCGTTCTCCTCATCCACCACCACGAGCACCTACTGCCTCCCAGTCGACGCCACTGGTTTATAGCGATAACGACAAAGTCAAGGCCAAACGACCAAGCGAGGCCAGTCAATTGGAAATTGGGAGATCAGGTGGCTGAAGACGAGGGACAGACCGACGTTCATTGGGCGCCATTAGGTTTATCAGCGATCGTCAATCGATCAGTTCTCAATTGATTTTTATGCCTGTTCCCGCAATTACTTTAATTTAATGGGCAAATTGTTCCGTGTTTTTGTTTTCTCTTTTTAAATATCATGTTTTTAAATGTTTTTACCTTGTGTTTTTATTAACTGCTGTGACTTAAATAAAACTACACAAAAATATGCAAGTTAATTGTGTGATTAGATTTGGCATATCAAAATGGGATTTATTTTGGCAAACATTTATTTGAAATAAAAAATTCTGTTTTCAAAGGAAAATCGTTTTATAACCTTTACATTATTATTAACCAAATATTAAGAGATTACCAAAAAAAGAAGAAAGATGCCACTTCTATATTTTAAAACAGATTTTTCAAATGATATTTCTTATTTCAAGCTGTAATTGGACTTACCTGTTTTTGAATGTTTTAAACTTAAAAATTTAAAGACGATTTCTACATTTTTACTGTTTTTAAACAAATTTAAATTGGTAATTCACATACATAAATCTCAGTATGTAGAAACTTTCCCAGGCTTACAATTTCAATTTAACTTTTAAATTTTTTCCATAAATTAGTTGTCTAATTAAAACCAAAAAAAAAAAACCAAATAATTCCAAGGCGTTATCCGGTGCTAGCTGTGTTGCACTCGATTCTTCTATCCGAATAAACTGATATAACCTCCAGATCCGATTCTCTGACGTAGATTCTAATCAGTAAAGTGCAATGCAACGCCAAAGAGAGAAAGATGCACAACGAGATCGGAGAAGTGGGCATAATAATACCCATATATATGTATTTAGTACAATATCATACTCAATAATCAAAAGCGAGAGAATGAATAATAAGAATCACGCCACTTTCTGCACTTTGCACTTGCGGCCATCTCGCTCGCACTTGTGCTGACTAAAGGATGCCACGCCCCTTCCGCCGGAGGGGGAGGGAGGTTCATCCTGAAGCTTTATCGCCCCCTCTCACTCTCGCTCTTTCGCTTTCCTCTCGTTTTTTGTGTGTTTCTATAAAGTCATTCAGTTCTTCAGTTTTTTTTTTCATTTTTTATAATACTTGATTACGTTTATAGTTGGAACGCCTTTATGGATTCCTCTCTCTTTCTCTCTTTCACCGCGATAAGAATTGTCGTTGCCAACTGAAGACTGCAAGAGCCAGACCTCGTCATCGTCGCTTCGGGAAGAAGAATGGGAATCGGAATCTGGTATGGAGGGGAGATCGGTACAGCAGGCAAGGTCCAAAGTCCGGATCCATTAACATCTTTACAGGTCTCAGGTCCCCCCAGCCACTTGTAGTTGGTACACCTTGCGGTTGGCATTTCCATTACATTAAGCTACCCAATAACGATCATTATAGCCATGATCATTGAATGGGCCGGCAAATAACGATCAGTGCATTGCACTTACACAGAGGATAAAGAAGGGGAAGTATAGGATTTACCTATCAAAGAAGCTCTTGAGAAGTTCCTAAGATGGCCTAGTTGGTCTTATCAAGAATTGGTTTTTCATTCAGAAGAATTGAAGTCACCTATCAAGAAAACTATTTACAAATACTTGGCTTAATGATATCAAGAAAAAGACTTTGTAAGTAGGTCTAGTTTGTTATACTATATTTACCTATTATCATATTAAGAATTGCTTTTTCATTCAGAAGAATTGGACTTACGTATCAAGAAAACTGTTTACAAATAACATTTTAATGATATCATGACAAAGTTGCGATAAGTTCGTCCACTTTAAAAGACAATACAAAGAAGATTTGCTTATCAAAATAACAAGAAAGGTTCTTCAATCGGAAAGCCTCTATAAGTCGTTTAAGCAATCAATTTCTATTACTCGTTATTAGTTTTCAAATGGAATTTTTTTGGTCTTAAAAAAGTGAGAATCTGTCGTCAATTAAGCACTTAAACTTTAGCAACACGATAAGATTTAGGAATATTTATTCACTGTAGAGATTCTACACTTATAGCTCCCTATAAATCGATCGTTGTCAAATGGAATTAGAAGTTGGACTTACAAGATCCTTGATTTTAGTTTATGATTAATATTTTTTCTCCTTGTGCATATAATATATTCGTCGTCTGCGGTTTCGGGAACTCGTCGAACAAGTCATGGGTTCCATGGGTTCCACAAGAAATAGCAATACCTCTCAGCGAAGCCCTTTTCTGGCAAAGCTCAAACTCATGAATATTTTCGACCCAAATGCATTTTGCAAAACTCAAAATTATGCCAAGTATGCTGGAATCTGGTCAGCGATTGATTCCCCAGGCGTACTGCAAAACTGGAACTTTGTCGAGACTTTGGACAGACTATGACTGTGGCATGTTCCTCCTCATGTCGGGAGCACAAATTAAAGCGATCGGCCAGACGTGTAGCATACAAATGAGTTGAAGATTCGAAGGAGTGTTGCAGGGGAGATTCCGTCGAGGAAGTGGCATGGCGTGGAGCCAGCTGAAATGAAAAGGAAACTCAGAGAGACCGACGTCGACGTTTTGCCCAATCTAAAGACGGATAATTGCACGGCCATTAACGCCGTCATTATCGACAGGGACAGAGTCGCAAGTCCACCGGGACAGTTCGTTTCATGAAAATGGGATCTTAGCTTTGAAAATGTGGTAATAAAGGTTGCAAAAATTAATCTAAAAATTGTTCTTTTTACTAATACTAAATTATTCTTGTGCTAGCGATCTCGAAACTTATAAAATTTAAGAAGTTGCTGACAAAAATCCAAAGGATAAGATCATCATCAGATAGAAACGCTTTTTGGATAGTACTAGTAAAGCTTTAAATAATTACGCTATTAATGCAGTAATTTCTGCAATTAACAAAAAACACACCAATAAAATAAATTGTTTGTTTTCATCTCAAAAATCCATGAATTTCGATTCCAAAATAAACCGCTTTGATAGCCGCAAAACGTACTTTAATATCACATGTTCGCAAAATATATATATAATATATATAGAGACCTTATCGTGACAGCGAGTGCTCTATAAATTCATTCGCTGCAGCGATCCGGCAATTACGAGGACTGAACTCTACACTGAACTCTATATAAATCAGCGGACCGGGGAGTGCTGTCCCGATAAGGCCGCCTAATCAGATAGGCGGTAGGAACGTATAAGGCTCCCATCGGTTATCGTTCACGTTCTTCGAGTGGCAAAAATAATTGAAAGAAAGTCGTTGGCAATTTTTTTTTCTTGTTCTTCGTTCCAGTTTTGCGTTGGTTCTTTTTATTAATATTTAATATTATATTATCAATCTAGAGTTGTTTAGAGCAAACATTATGGCTAGGTTCTCCATACAAGTGTGTGAGGGTGTGTGTGTGTGTGTTTTTGTTTGTTTGTTTCTTGTAGTTGTGTTATGGTTATGTATATACATATATATATGCATATATATATATATATATATATATCATAATTCATTTTCATTAGCAATTAGACATCCTCTGGTTGGGCTCCCAGCGAGCGTACAATGGAAATTAAATAGAGATAGAAATAGCATTAGGTATTAGATTACGTATACGTATAGCTAAACCACACTATGCCAACCGTGTGTGCGTATGTTTCTTTATATATATATTATATATCTCTGTGTATATATTAGGCATATATAGGTGTATATATATATTATGTATTATTCAATGCATGCGTGGCACTTTAGCACAGCTAAAATTGACGAAAAAAAAAACGCGCTCATCTTACTCCCGAACTCTCTGCGACTATTATATATCCTTAAAACTAGGGTGCTGAGGGCTATACTTCAAATAAATATTTACAAAGCTGGTTGCGCAGGGGGCGGGGCTCAGGGCGGTCGCGTTTAAAAAACCTTTTCCACTTTTTAATGATCCTCTATGGTTGTACGCACCACTTGTATAGGCAAGTACTTAATGAAAAAAAAATTGAGCAAAAAAAAGGGGGGGCGAAATTATAAAATACAATATAAAATGGGCGGCGTGGGTGGTGTTTTAGGGGGTCTTAGTGTGTGTGTGTGTGTGTGCATGGGTGAAAAAGGATAATATCTAGCTATAGATATAGTAAATAAATGGGCTGCTGTTGAATCCACTACTGGGAAGACACCGCCGCCGCTGCCTGTTTGCTTTTAGCCACCTGCGGCTTGGCCACAACTGCTGCGTTGTTGCTGGTGGAAGTGGTGGTGTTGTTGCTGCTGCTGCTAGTGCTGGTTGTACCAAATGGCGAACAGGTGTCGCTGCTATTGCCCGACTGCTCCACATTCGTGCCCATCGACGAGTTTATGAAATTGATGTACTGATGCAACTTGAGAGCAGCTATCAAAGAGCTTAGATAGTCGTTGATGTTGCCCTTCTGGACCTGCTTGATCTGTCGGGAGACATTTCTATAGACGCGACGCGAGATCTTGTTGGATAGCCGTCCAACTGTCTGTACTGTGTGTAGGACTGGATCCTCGCTGGCGGGAACTGGCACTATAATCAAAAGATACGAACACCATTAATAAAAGCTAACCGACCATTAATTTTAGTATTTTGTTAGGGGTTATAAGCAAGTCGTTTTAACATAGTTAGTAAGAGTGACTGTGTGGCTTGTGTGTGCTTACCATAAACTTGTTGAGTTCCCTATCGATAATCCCTACGATCTCTGGATTTCTTCTAACGTACTCAACAATTTCGGTTATGATTTTCAGGGACATGGACAGAAATACCGTCGAGGCGGCCACTAAGAATCTATCATCAATCTCTTGATCGTGATCCTGGTCGTAGCTCTCCCCAACAACAATAACTAACATATGGCATAGAGAAAGAGAGATAGAGAGAGAGAGATTAATTTAGAAAATTAGTGTCACTTTTTTTTCGGAAAGGGCTGGTTAATTAAAGTTAGCGGGCGGGCAGCAGTGTTTAGGACCAGGATCAGGATCAGAGGTTTCATTTTTTTTTTGGGGGAGACTTCACAGACTATTCAACATTTATCCCTCAACTCGAAATCGAAAATATCATTCTATATAGATATTATATATATCCCCATTTTGTTCTGTTTTTGTGTGTGAAATTATTGCCATGCTTGTTATTAGTGATCATGCTTTTTTATTTACTTTCTATTTTTATGCTTATTAGACGGTGTGTTAGTGGTGGACAAACAAATAAACGATCAAACGAACAAAAGATCGGATCGGGGATCGGGAACTTACTGTCATTTTCAGAACTCTTGCCATTCTGCACGACGGCATTTTGTTTATCATCTGAGAATTAAAAATATTTACGATTTATATTTAGCATTTTGTTTACACACCGCGCAAAAAAAAAAGTGGGGGCAGCAGAAGGCAAACAAGCGAATTTTTACTTTTGGCCCAACAGATGGAAATGGAAGGAAAGCCAATAAATTATGTTCTTTTCCAAGGTTCTTAAAACTGATAATATAATACTCGAAGTAAGAAAGTTTCTAGAAACTGAAGATAGTCTTTAAGGTAAAGGAAACAATTTAAAACTCTTTTCTTTTAATTAATTTTTATCAAAGTTGTACTTAGTTCTTGACAAGAAGTTAAAAAAAAGTATTTAAAAATATCTTTAGACCAAATCTCTTAAATAGTTTTAGTTATGTAAGAAATGATCTTATGAAATCAGTATTAGAAATATTATTATAACAAAAAATAAGTAATATACATTTTCTTAAAGTGTTAAATGAAAAAAAATTAAAGGATTATCATTTTTACACGATGGTAAATGGAAAAGGGGTAAATAGTAAACCCAATAATAATAAATAAATGAAAAACCTAGGGGTATCTTGGCCTATAATTTATAGAGATCTGCTAACAACACTCACCATTATCCTCCTCCACATCGGACTCGCACTTGGGGAAGTAGTATTCCAGGAGTCGTTCAGCCAGCGCCGTGGTGGTGTCCACTCCATTGACAGCCAGGCTGCCGTACTGGGTGGCCAGCACCTCGTTGGCCTTCTGCCAGGCAAGATCCTTCAGGGAAGCGGCCTTCTGCTGGCCGGCTGCCTTGAACTTAACAACACGTTCCAGATGAGGCTGCACCACATCGATCACCTTGCTCTTGGCCTGGTTGTAAATCTCCTGGGGTGTGTCCTTGATGATGGGCGCCTTAACCTCCAGCTTATCGATGCCCTTGACCAAAGTTTGGTCCACATAGGCGATGGGTCGGTCCAGTTTGGTGACGAAAGGAGCCGCGGTTGTCACAGCTCTCGTCACACAATCCTCGGCCGCCGTTAAAGCCCATTCAAAAACACGATTTTTTCCTGAAAACAAGAATGATAAATTAGTAAGTAATGATGTTTATTAAAAAGATACTTATGAAATTTCACTAACATTATTCAGATATCACAAAATTTATTATGATATCAACCTAAATTCCATGCCTAAAGATTTGGTTTCAAACTTGATTACCAGATAAGTCTAGAACTTCTAGAACTGTATAGTACTTTCCCATACATGTGACAAAAGTACAGAGAGTCTGCTTATCAGTTGCAACCGTCATAATAATAATAATAATAAATAGCATTTCTAACTGATAAGGAACTGCGCAGTTCATGATCCCCACGGCCCCTTGGACCCCTATTCTATCTGTCTGGTGGCCGCGAGCTTAGACTTTGATAGTTCGTCACTCGGCAAACACATCATCCAATTCCAATTTCAAACCCAGCAACTGCTACACCAACAACAACTCAGAAATATCACAAACAAGTCGAAAGTCCAACTACAGTTGTTGTTTTTGGTGTTGGGATCCCAGAGTGCCCCACAGCCCCCAGTGCTGGCAGTTTAGTGTAGTTTCTAGCTAATGTAACCTTATTTTTAAAATTATTTCCATAAATCTATTACGTTTAAGTACCATCTGACATGATGAACTACAAAGATATATCTTTGACAATTTGAATTCCAAGTATTTTTTAAGTTTTTGAAGTTTAGTATAAGACTTTTAAAATAAAAGTCATTAGACTCTGAAACTACTGTTCTGCTAATTACAAGATATTAAAAATATTTTGTCAGATTATTCTTATTAAACTAGTTTAGATGTAACATAAAAAACATTGTTTTTAGTTTACTTTTTAAAAGTGAAGTAACTAAGCTTTTATCTGGCTATAAGTTATACTGCTTTTAATGTGTTTTTGCGTCAGACACGACAGCACTGTGAGTACCAGTGGCGTGGCCACTGGGTCTGCTAAGCTTTTCCTGGCAGCGAAACGAGCCCCTTTTGCTTACGGCGCCTCTGCGGCTGCAGCCTACGTGCGCTGGTGGCCTTTTCGCGCCCCTTCTCTTTCGCACTCTTTTTCGTTGGCTAAGTTTTTATTTATTATTATGTAAAATTCAAACGAACTTTGTACGCAACGCGTCACGAGGGCAAAGTGCCGGCGTTTTTTCTTATTTTTTGTTGCTAGGTCATGGTTGTTGTTGTTACTGCTGCTGTGATTTTGATTATTGAACGGCCGGCAATCAATTAATATCAATTGAGCTTAATTCCTGACCAATTAAAAGAAAAAAACATAAAATCTTGTGTTGCTGCCCTCTATGCGAATTCGAACTGCAACTCGAATTAAAAAAAATGGCGAAGCAAAGTCAAAAAGCAACGGCTTCGGTTTCGATTACAGTTTCGATTGCATATGCTGTTTCGCTGCATTTGTTGTTGTTGTTGTTGCTTTGCGGCCCCCTTTTTTATTCTCTATTTTCTATATGTATGTACAAATGTGCCGTTAGGCGGGGCACAGTATAACGGGACTAGAGCGGGAGTTCAATGCACTCGAATGATTTTGTGCACTTACCTTTTACTTTGCCATACACATCCTGGGATTTGTCCCATGCCGCATTCACCACCGGCAATTTGATGATCCTTTCGAGAGACTCCAAGTGCGGCAACAGGTCCTTGGCATCCTTAGGCTGTTCGACGACATCGGTGATAGTTCCATTGCCGGTTGTTCCATTCCCGGTGGCGGTGGCGTGTTTCTGCTCTGCACTGGCCATGATCTTTTTTTGTCTGTTTCTTGTTTCTGCTGCCCTTTTCACTTTTTCTTTCTTTCGCTTCTCGGTCTTTCTCTATCAAGCTCTTTCGCTTGCCACCGCACTTTTCTCCTTGTTTCTTTTCTTTCACGATCAAAAAAACAGCTTAACGTGTGTGCGTTTTAGGGTGTATGTCTCTGTATACTTGGAGCACTTTTATATTTTTCTTGTAGCACTTTCTTGGCACGTCTGCACACGACTGTTAGCTGGGGCACTCTGACTGATTTGCGAGCTGCGCGGCTGGTTTATTATATGAGCGAGTGCCGCCGCCAGTGTTGCCAGCGCAGAGCAAGGAAAAGCTAAAAGCGACAGAGATGTAAGCGCTGGCTAAAAAGCTAACGAACTTCTTACGAGGTTACCAAAATATGTATTACGCTTAGATCAAAGCTAAACAAAGTTTTTTTTTCTTTCGATTTTCCAGGATTTATAGAGGGCTTGCTATGTAATTGAAACTTTAAGGGGATCATTTACTGTTTATAGGTGCCTTGAATACAATTATCAAAAGAAGAATAATAAAAACTTAGTTTTATTTTCTTTTAGATTTCTTCAGTTTTTTGGCTTGTCAAATATGTAAAAAATGAATAAATTGACTATTTTACGGCAATTTTATCAAATCCAATCCTAATATTTATCTTTCTTCATAATTGTTCGCCCAAATCGACTTGAAAATAGCTAGATATTTAACACTTACAAAATAGTCGCATCTCTGTTGAGAGCAGAGCGCCAAAGCAGCGAGAGATTTGAGATTACTTTGGGGACCCCATAAAATTATAATAAAAGATATGTATGAATATAACTATTAGGGTTTCTAGCTCTTTGACCAGTAAATACACACATAGATGTACGTTAAACTATGGATATATTTTTTTCTTAAATAATAATATGTGAGTAGAAAACTATTTTAATTAAATGTAATTTCAAAAAATGAATTTGTAAATATTTTAAAATGATTCTAAACTGAAATAAACAGTATTATTTCTTATAAAAATCAGCAGATTTCATCAAAACAATATATATATTTTAAGTATTTAATCAAAATGGAAATTTGAAACAGATTTTAAAGTTTTCCTTCGGATGCATTCAAATTCTTCTTCATTATCCTTCGGGAGATGCAATTCTTCTGCTTGGAAAGCAAAGAGAAAGCATAGAATTTGGGGAAAGAAAAGAGAGACAGCGCCTATGTTTGTTTGGCATGCTTGACAACTAGATTAATTAATACGCAGTGTCGGTCGCAAACAAAGTTTAGATTGAAGTACATACATTCCAATATGTGTAGCTTTGTATTTTTGTGTGTGGGGGCACTGCCATTATCAATGGGCAATGGGCACCACCACGCAAATGCTTCGTGCGACCTTTGAACCCCTGCCACCGCATCGATAATACGCCACTGCACATTCACACATCCACATTCTACATTCTACGTAATATTCACCGAATGCTGTGTAATTTGCTTGCCATTCCAAAGTCCGTTGTGTGACAAAACGAAAACAAATTACGAGAACTACAAGCGAAACGTGTCCGACCTCATCCCCTTAACCAACCCCTTAAATACGGTTCCATCCCCCTTTTTGTTAACCCATTTGTTGTTAACATTCAATGGCCATAAATCTCTAGACATAGGTTAATCATAAGGATGATGAACTACCTTGAATATTAATATATGTTTGTCCTATATAATTAGGTTTAAGTATATATCTACATAAGAAAGATTCGCAAACTATAGATACATTGAAATATACATTACTCTAAATACTAATCAAAAAAGTAATAGTATTTTTCTAACACCGAAAGGAATTAGACCATCCTTTAGATATATGTATGATCCCGAAAGCACCACACAAACCTCTTTCAAAACCTTCCAGATCACCTGGAATCCAAAATACCAAAAAGGGTTAATGGCCTCGGTCAATTATGCGCTTTATAAGGTAATTACATATGTCTATCTGATAAGATTTACCCAGACTGACTATATCGCCTCGACCATAAATGCGCATATTAACCAGGCCCTTAAGTTGAGAAGGTTACCAACCGCTCAGTAGACGGTAATCCAAAGTCCGGGACTGTCGTCACAACTTTTGCTTATGTTGTAACCAAGATCAGGTGTCGTGCTTATCGCCACATGGTCTGGCCAGGTACCAATTGCCGATATAGCCGGTAAATAAACCAATGTAACCGATTCCCACCATTTTATTTATAGTTTTATGTGGACTTTGTAATGGTGGTATCTCGGCGTTACATTAAAAAGAGGAAATCACTTCAACCACGTTTGGTAAACCGATTTCGTTAGCAGATAACAATGATTATTAGAAAATCGAGTAAATATTGTTAGATTTATTATGAAAGCAATTTCTTTGACGATAAGCAGTTAAGAAATATAGGACTTGGACAAGGTGAGAACTGTAGGTCGAGATAGGTTTTAAATCATACGACTATTTTGTGGTAAAGTAACCTTTTGCCATTTTGAAATAACCAGTTGGAAATCATAAGGCTCGAGCAAGGTACAAATTCGAGTGATGTGTACTTCTTAAAAGCAACCTAGTCATGTATTATTTTGATAGATAGATAGGTAATGGCTGAATCATACGATCATTGATTGCATCAGATTTTAAATTTGATTTTAAATTTTAAAATCCGCTTAAGAGCTACACGTAGAGGCGATTAACAGTAGGCCTCATGTAGACAAGCCCCAGACCGTATACTATACGTACAGAAGGCCCCAGTTCACATATGTATATATATAAATATATATATATATATATACATACATATTGTGTCGTGCGTTATCGGGACCCAAAGAGTGTCCGTCTGTGGGTATTTTCCCGAACGGTTGAGCCTAGAATTCCATTGGATTTTGGACAGATTGTAACCACGGGCATCTAGCCCCCAATTTGAGAGGCCTAGGCATGATCTATATATAGAAAGAGGAAACATTCAGGTAACGATGACATATAGACGGACTTTGAAACAGCAGCGTGAGTGAGTTTTTCTATATATGCATGTGAAAGGCGAATGAGTCGCTTGCTGATTATATTAAGTTTTTATTTCCTTTTTTTTTCGCATTGCTTTCTAGATGGATTGTACTCTGCTGATAAGGGCGCTTTGAATACTTTTTTTTATTTCTCTGCTCTGCTCATTCATTTAATGCCTTTGTTTTATAATTGTCGCCGGTTATCGTCGTTATGAGGTATAAAGCCTTTAAGCCACTTATTAAACAAAGTTCGCCATGCTTATCGCAATCTAGTGACACACGGGTTCAAATTACTCGAGAGTCCAATTGGAGAGGCGATTAAATTTCAAAGAATCATTGAAATAGGGCAGAAGACATAGATTCCAAGAGATGGGGTGTAAGAATTATAAACATTCGTTTATTATGTTATTTGGAATTCGAAACCCAAAAGCCCAGAACACTTGGGGCTAGTCTCATGTAACTTCGCTTATAAATAAGCAATCTTTGTTTATACTTTTGTGATAAATATTTAACTCAAAAATCCTATAAACATTGAATCGTATGAAACTTGACAACTTTACAAATAATCCTTCAGATACAGCATGGCATTTAAGCTTACAGATAACCAAACTGAGTTTTGAAATAAAATACTCATTGGAACCAAATTATAAACAATACCCCTAGCTGAGTTCTTAGGCAAATGGTTTGAAAAATATGCAAGCTATATAGAAGAGGGGCAAATCGGGGTACTGGGGCATGTCTGGTATGTTCGACTACGTGTATTAAACCCAATTCGTCATGGGGCAAAAACCCACAGAAGACTAGAAGGAACAAGAACGACAACGACGACGACACCACAAAAAGTCGTCTGGCGGTTTGGACTTTGGTCGGTTTACGTGATGTCGTCGTCGACCGATGACGACTGAGAAAATTCGATGCCGGTTCTGGAGCGTGTGTTTCATTATAAAACTCAACAAAAAGAGAGAAAAAAAAAACTAAATAAATAAGTAATGAAGGCAAACCAGAATCAAAAAAGAACTCTTTGACTAAATTTAGACGCGACCAAAGACCAATTCCTACGAATACGTCATTGCTTGTAGATAAATAAGTGTTTTCGCAGAATGAGGTGCCAAAGAGGTTCAAACTTGTTTTGACGGCCCCAAACAAGAAAATTTGCTTCTCTTTTATGCAATTGCAACAAATTTACTAAACCTATGTCATATTATTTGTTAATAAACATTCTTTTTTACATAATATTTCATAAGAACTTGAATTTCCGTATACAAATCTTATGAAACTTGACTACTGGATAAGTAATCTTTATGAAATTTAGTTTACAAAAAGAATGTATCAAAACTCATTTAACAATGTTCCTAGTCAGCTACCTTAGTTACTAAGGACTGATCTAGCGTAACTTGTCTTCTAAGTAATATATCGCTATGAAATTTGGTATGCGGAATTATTTTTAGCTCCCCTGGAAATTCGACTATGCTCCAGATCGAGGTTCACATCAGCCCTGCTCCAAGTTTGAGTGGGTCTCCATTAAGAGGCAGACATCTAATCAGACGGCAAATTGCCTCGTTTCAATTCATTTTCGTCTGGCTGAAAGACGCTGACAAACTAAAGACTATGCACTATATATACAAGCATACGCACATGGGTATTTTGTATATATATAAATTTTAATGATTTCTGTGGTTTTTGTACACAAAAGCTGATAGTGATAATATAGTTGCCCCCACGCATTGAAAGCGTGAAATATTCGCTCTCTTTCTTTTTCCCTATCTGTCTGCTTCCTTTCCACCGGCCTTGTCTTCGCATTGGTGATCATTTTCTTTCACATATTAAATTGGTATTTAATTCCAAATGAGCTAAGTAAATATGTACTTGAATTAAAGGTAAATTGAATTAATTGATATTAATATAATTTCCTTAGAATTGATAAATGCAAGATAAAGCAAAAATAAAACTCTTTAAAAATAAACTCACTGAAGATGTTTTAAGAGCTGTTATCCGAGATTATTTGAAATATAGATGGCTTTGCTTTGTTTAAGTGATTGAAAAGCCAGTAATAGGTGTCGCTTTGTAAGCTTTTGTAATTTCCATGTAGATATTTATTTGGGGAGACTTGAAAGGGGTTTTTTTAAAATTGATTTGTTTTGAAAGTTCAAAATGAATAAATTTATAGTTTATAGGTTGGGTAGAAAACCTTATTTTTCATAATTCCTCATATTTCTTTAGATATTTAATATCATTAACTGATTAACATGCCAAAATAGACGTTCAATATTCAAAGGACTTATTAAAAGATAATACTTCAAATCGACTTTCAACTGTATACCCTATATGCATTGATTTTTGGAGGCCTAAGAAAGCGTTTTATTTCTTATGAATTACTCGTTATTTGTTCGGCACTTAAAATCGTCTAGAAATGCCGCAAAAAACGGGGATAAAGGGAAATGTTTAAATTATTGAGTAATTATAAAGTGGAAATAAGGTCAGTTGAGGGAACCGCACCACCTGTTGTGCCTCCTCCACCAATTGGCCTCAAAGGTCACACAGTCACCAGTGAACCGCCAACGAAAAAGGAACTTTAAACATGGAAAACGGACTGAATGATGCCACGCCCACTGAAGCCGCTTTTAAGCTGGTGCTCCTAAGCAAATCTAATCCTGTGATGGGCTGCTATATGTTTTGGACAAGTCTATTGGTGTTCAAAATGCTGATCATGTCGCTACTAACTGCTCGTCAGCGAATGAAGACCAAAACCTATGCCAATCCAGAGGATTTGCGCTTAAGCCGGAGCACTGAGGTTAGATTCGGAGATCCCAACGTAGAGCGAGTGCGACGGTGAGTGAGAAGGGTTTTTGGAAATCCAATCCTGAAAAAAAGTTTGAAAATACGTTATTTAAATTTAAGGCTTTGTAGAATATGTAAATTTATTAAAATACCCTTTTTGCAGGGCCCATCGCAACGACCTGGAGAATGTTTTACCCTTTCTTATTATGTCGCTAGTCTATGTGGCCAGCGGACCAAATCCCCTTACCGCCCGTCTGCTCATCCGCATCGGAGCAAGTGCCCGGCTTCTGCATACATTGGTCTACGCTGTAATCCCAGTTCCGCAACCCGCAAGAGCTTTGGCCTTCTTCACCACCTTCGCCATCACTTGCTTTGAGGCGGGCTACATACTCATCTGCTGCATTAAATACATTTAGACCAACTGGTGACCCTCACTTAGCCAACTTAATACTAAACAGCACCAGTGATGTCAAGTGTCTAGGTACAGATTTAGGTACGCACTTATTTTTGGTAAAAAGTTAGAGATTTTGGTTTAAAAAAACTTAAATATGAGGATCTAAGGATCACTAAGGATCGTTTTTATAAAGCCATAGGCTCTTGATTGGCTCTTGACAACGTAGTAGTCATCAACACAAATACTTTAATATCAAATATATCTTAGATTCAGCACAGTTTGTTAGATAAAAGATTAGCTTAGGATGTAGCAAAAACTTTTTTTTTAACTTGAAAAATTTAGATTAAGTACTAATCTTAAGAATCGGACTTTTAAAGTTCATTTTCAGTCATAATTGTTTGGTAAAGTAGAAATGTAATCAAAGTTGGATACTACAAAATAATACTAATTTTCTAATATGTTAATTGAGATTTAAAATTCATACTTTTTTTTGTATACATATAAGAAATCAATTGATATAATAGTGTACCTCACCTAAGAGTTGAGTTAAGCTAAACCACTTGGGTAAAATAGAGATATTACCTGTCCCAATGCTGCACAGCACCTTAGATTCGGTTCGACGCAATTCGTAACCAGTTTGGTCGCATGTCTATGATCTCCACAATGAGCTGAGTGCGGCTCATTTAATCATTTGTCGAAGTTGGCTCAAAGCGAACGCACATACCTCATACGCCATGTCGGCCACAGCCAGTAATTCCAGCAAGATGATGACATCGCCCGGCGATATGTTTAACCTGGAGAATCCTGTCTTTTGCTGCTATCTTTTTTGGGCCACCGTACTGGTGGTGAAAATGCTGCTAATGTCGTTGCTAACGGCGGTGCAGCGTTTCCGGTATAAGGTAGGCTTATAATTCTTTATGTCGCTGCACTTGCTCAAAGGTCATCATTCCACGATTCCATTCGCAGTTGCTGGCATTCGTGCCGCTGGCACTTCGGCGCAAGGTAATCACAAACAAACCCACAAGTCATCACGATCACATTAGATTAATTCGTTTAACCTGTTTGTCCGGGTTCTAAAAATGTTTGTTTTCGCTTTTATAGATCTTTCCCAACCAGGAGGATCTGTTCTTTAAGAACCTTGAAGTGCAATTTGATGATCCGCATGTGGAGCGAGTAAGAAGGTGAGTTCTTCTAAAAGATATACTTTTGTAGCACAGTAGCAAATTCAAATATTAAATTAAAAGCTATAAAAAATAAAAGCTGTATTATAAAATATGTACTTGAACTTCGGTAAATCATGAGTTAGAGAAGTTCAACTGTATGTTGTGGAGATCTTATTCTTAGTACTTTCCTGACATATATTTTTCTTTACCTTTCAGAGCCCATCGCAATGACATGGAGAACATTTTACCGTACTTCATTATGTCCTTGATTTATATTAGTACGAATCCCAATCCCGCTGTGGCCTGCAACCTGTTTCGAGTAGCCTCATTGGCTAGAATCATTCACACTCTGGTCTATGCTGTTTATCCTGTGCCGCAGCCTTCAAGAATTCTGGCATTCGCTACCATGCTTCTGATCACCTTCTACATGGCCGCTGTAGTCGCCCTACGCACCCTTACTTATGTCTAAATAAATACTAATCCCTATTGGCTTAACCCATAAATGTCATGTTTTTTTATAGTTTGGTTTGGTTTTAAGACTTATATTCTGTTTTTAATATGTTTTTACGTTTTAGGAGATGAGATAAAATTATAAATGAGAGTATCAGAGGTCAAAACAAGCGATGTATAACATTGAAGCGGTTGAGCTATTTCTTATTTAAAAATAATAATATATTTTGCAATGTCATTGCCAATTAAATGGTCTACTTAGAAAGATATTTGTGAAACTAGTTAATATTAGTTCTATAATTAGCTTGAAATTCAACATTGAAGTATACCTTTATATGGTAAACAACATAACTTTTCAATGACATGCTTATATACCTCGTTTTTAAAGTTATTGCCAATTTGGATTAGTTTCTAAAAGAACTCAGCACCATCCTCGAATAAGAAAATTACAAACCGTTTGGCTTTCAGTTAATTTAGTTCTATAATTAGCTTGAGATGCAACAAAAACAAACAGTGGATGATTTTGGGTATCCGGGGAGTGGCACTGGGGGTCTGGAGGACTAGAAGTTTCCTATAAGCCTAGTCCTATCATTCCATGCTGTTTAGATATTGAAGCCGGCATCGCGCATGCACTTCTTATGCGCCTCGATCAACGCCGAGCAGTTCTCCTCGCCGTTCTCCACAATGCTGGAGTAGATTAGGTATGGAAATTGGATAAGAAAACATTTATTAGGCGTGTTGTTGCGTCATTTGATGCGGGGTGCATACTCACCAAGCGTCACGTGCCCTCTTGGTCTCAGGGCAAGCACAACAGGCCTTGCACTTGGGCTTCTCACCGGCTGCTCCAGTTGAGGATGCAGTGGTCACCGGCTGGGCAGCCGAAACACTTGGAGCAGAGACTCCCTGCGATACGTTGTTTCCCATTATTCAATTGGTTTTTAGTCGATAACTGCTGCGAGTTCAGGAGTTCTGTTACTGAATGCCTCAAGTTTTGTTTATATAATAAAACTCACGTTTCGAGATGGATATTTCACCACAATTCAGTTTATCGGCGCACAGCACACCAAAATAACTAAATTCAAGTTCACTTAACAGGGTTGTCAAAGGACTGACAAGTTGTGAGATGGTTGCTGGGGGGTAGCTATCGGTAAAATCTATCGTTAAACCTTGGTAGCAAAAATATAGCTGTTGTATTGGTTCCAAATTTGAAATATGCCGCAATAAAATTATAGTTGGGGGATTTTACTGTTTATAAAATATTATATATTGCCAAATTATCATCGATGGTGGGCATTTCCACGACACGTGACAGCCCTGACAAAAAGAATTTTATGTTGCAGACCAGCTGTGGCCCACCGACAGCCGGTAGTGTTGCACAATAGCCAAATGCAAATGTCAACAAACGATAATATATTTATATTTTATATTTATTTTACGACTCCATTTTCTCGCTGGTTGTTTCCTTATTCTGGGGCTGCTCCTTAAGACGCTGCAGCATGTTGTAGGAGACCAAGTCGAGTTTCAGGTGCTGGACACTTAACGCACTGCCGTCCCAATCGCGAAGCATTTTTAGCTTCAGCGGATCGCAGAGGTTCATCAGCTCCAGGCCGCCACTTCGGAACTCGTTGCGCTCCTTTTCTAGGGTCATGGTGATCACATCCTTGCGGGCGGCATGCTGATTAGCTCTATGTTTTCCAATCGATTGCTTTAGGTTGATCTGTTCCAGTTCCTCGTCGAATCGGGTGAAATAGAGCTCAATCAGATCCTCCAGCTCCTGTGGACTCAGCGGTTCGGTGCGTTCCTCATCGATTTGTCCCAGAAACCAACTTAACTTCTCCCCCGTAATGTTACTTTTGATAGCATGACCCAAACGAACTTTGTGCTTGTTGTTCTGGCGGCGTGCTTTTTTGCCCAGCGCCTTGGTTTTCCGGCTGTTGGGGTGCTTGCATTTCTCCAGCTCCTTGCGTAGATTTGTCTGCATTTTAATAGAGCAAAAAATATAGTTTAACTATAAAATTACGCATTATTTATTGGGCACTTACCATTTTTACACTGCTGTTGTTCTTTCACGTTGTTGATTGCAGTGTTGGTAAATACAAACAAGCACATGCTGTTTGCGATCAGCTGGATCCCTGGTGGTGGAAGTCCAAAGCGATAGTTTCAGCGATTATTTAGTATGATTATTATGCCTTTTTCTATTAACATGCAATACAAAAATAATAAAGAAATATTATAAAAACATATAATCAAACTAAAAGAATATTTTACCAATAATTTGAAAACCGATCTTGCAGCTGTATCGATAGTTATGGTTCTGGTCCGCCTCCAGCCAGAATCATATGTTTTGGCAAACACACACACCTGCTCGATCGCATGAGGCTAAACCCCACGATCCGTACCGATCAGTGTCTATATCCCGTGCATTTCCGCGCCCCAAAGTCCCGATAAATGGCAACACACCTCCTCCGAAATGGCGCTACATGTTGGCTGCTCAGGAACTGCATTTCCCGCCAGGCGACAGTAAGTAAATTCCAAAAAACTCCCGCCAATCTATGGCAGAAAAGAAAAACAACACCGCCGTTATGTAATCGCACAAACACCCTGGGCGAGTGTGAGCGAGAAGGAAATACATACTTCTGCGCCTTTTTAATCGGAGTAATTTGTTTTCGTTACACAGAAAAAAAAGTGTTGAAGATTAATGGTTATATGTTAAACACAAATTGTGGAACAATTTGCTTCATATTTACATATTAGTAAAACTGAACCATGATTAGCTTCTTGTGGTTCTTAATGTTTAAAAAGAATGCTTTTCAATACCATAAAAGATTTAAAAGAAAGAGCTTTTAAAGTACGAAATAGTTTGAAATAAGAGATTTGTAACTTAAAATCTAATATCAAAATCCTATTTACCTTTTAGTTAAATCGTTGCCTGCATGTGAGCTCCGTTCTGGACAAGAAGATCTCCTTCCATCTCAGTGACATTGGTGAGGGCATCCGCGAGGTAACCGTCAAGGAGTGGTTCGTGAAAGTGGGGGACACTGTCGAACAGTTTGACAATCTCTGCGAGGTGCAATCTGACAAGGCATCGGTGACTATCACAAGTCGCTATGATGGTAAGATAACCAAGATTCACCACAAGATCGATGAGATTGCGTTGGTTGGACGTCCTCTTGTGGATTTCGATGTGCTGGATGAGGAGGGCGATGATGCGGACGATTCCTCCACCACGTCCTCCGAGAGCTCTTCCAGCGAATCGGAGCAGGAAAAGTCAACTGGTGCAGGCGCCACGCCAACTGGCGCTCGTCTGATTACACTCGCCACACCCTCTGTCCGTCGCCTGGCCAAGGAACATCAGTTGGATCTGGCCAAGGTGCCGGCAACGGGCAAAAATGGTCGTGTACTGAAAGGTGATGTCCTAGAGTTTCTGGGACATGTGCCTCCCGGTACGAATGTGCCACATCCCACACTAGTTGACAAAAAGCCAGCAGCTTCTTCTGCCCCCTGCTCAGCAGCTCCTGTTTCAGTCCCAGCTGATCGTGTAGAGGTGCTTAAGGGAGTAAGGAAGGCCATGCTCAAATCGATGACGGAATCTCTGGTAAGTAATTCTTAAGCTAATGCATTGGGTTTAAATAACTATTGGCTCCTTTCTCCATAGAAAATCCCTCATTTTGCGTACAGCGACGAGATCGACATGACCCAGTTGGTGCAATTCCGCAACCAATTGCAGGCGGTGGCCAAGGAAAATGGTGTTCCCAAGCTTACGTTCATGCCGTTCTGCATTAAGGCAGCCAGCGTAGCCCTGTCCAAGTATCCTATTGTCAACAGCTCGCTGGATTTGGCCAGCGAGTCTCTGATCTTTAAGGGTGCCCACAACATTAGCGTTGCCATTGATACACCACAGGGTCTGGTTGTGCCAAATATCAAGAATTGTCAGGCGAAGAATATCATTGAGATAGCCAAAGACCTGAATGCCCTCGTGGAGCGTGGACGCACTGGCACTCTGTCCCCATCAGACTTTGCCGATGGCACTTTCTCGCTTTCTAACATCGGAGTTGTGAGTATAATTTATTTATTAAGTGGTAATTATGATTATTATCGAATACATTTTTCAGATTGGTGGTACTTACACGCACCCTTGCATCATGGCACCCCAGGTGGCCATTGGAGCGATGGGAAGGACTAAGGCGGTGCCGCGTTTCAATGACAAAGATGAAGTGGTCAAGGCGTACGTGATGAGTGTTAGCTGGTCCGCCGACCATCGCGTCATTGACGGTGTTACAATGGCCAGTTTCTCGAATGTCTGGAAGCAGTATCTTGAGCAGCCGGCACTTTTCCTGCTGCTCTAGACTGTCAGCAACTCCAAGACCCTAACTCCCACGGATAAGTCTGTATCCCATGCATTTATCTAGACATATTTAATTTTGTGAATTTTTTACGACAATCTGTTTTGTTCTGAAGCACGTGCCATGTGCCGCCGCCCATCCCCGAAATGTGCATTTATAGGAGGTAAGCTGCTCTGAGCGGCTCCTCGATTACTTTAAGCTCCTGGCGCACATGGCTGGCTTTCCCGCTTAGCTACCATTTTTTTTGTTAACCTGCATTTATATATCAGAACTTTTTGTAGTTAATTAAGCAGCAGCTTTTTCGTACAGTTTAACTGTATTTAATTTTAAAGCTTTGTTTTAATGGCTGTCCAATAAATATCCCAAATGGTTTATGTGAAATCTTCCCTCATCTTTTCGCATATTTTCCCGGGACCTATGTAAGTGAGCTGTTAAATATTTGTAATTGGATAACAACGTCGTATTTGTGGTCTTGTGGCGGCGCCACTTACATGATATTGTTTAAAACATGAATTTCGTTCAAAAAATGCTTGTTCCGCCGTCCAATTTGTACATTTTTCAACTCAGTTACCAGGCGAACAGAAAAGGTAGCAAGTAAACATCTGTTTTCTGGGAGCCTGTGTTTTTTTTCAAGATGGCCGCCTTCAAGATGGTTGCCTCTGTCACTGGATGGAAACCGTTAGTCTGGAGCCCAAAACATAAACAAGAGATGAGCAACCACGTTGATTTCTGTGTCGTCTCACGAGTTTAGCACGATAATCACGAAATAATATTAAGGTCCCATGTAATTTCTTCGGACGTGTCGAAAAACAGTACTCACGTGGTCATCCCTAAGTGGAGCTCATAAATTTCAAGATGGCTGATTTTTCAAGATGGTTGCCATTGCACACCAAAACATAAACAAGAGATGAGGAACCACGTTGTTTTCTGTGTCGTGTCCCAACTTTAGCACGACAGGAACGAAATAATATTTAAGTCCCATGTAATTTATTCGATCGTGTCGAAAAACAGTACTCACGTGGACATCCCTAAGTGGAGCTCATAAATTTAACGATTTCCACCTACTACTCGATTCTGTTCGCCTGGTATTTTAAAGGCATCAGCTAGTTAAAATGCGTTGAAATTTTGATCAGAAAAAACTATTTTTCTCAGTCAAAGTGGTCATTTTGGGATTTCAGTACCAGGCGAACAGAAAATGTAGCAAGCAACTATTTTCTGGGAGCCTGTGTTTTTATTTCAAGATGGCTGCCTTTCCAAGATGGTTGCCCTTGGAGGCCAAAACATAAACAAGAGATGAGCAACCACGTTGTTTTCTGTGTCGTCTCACGAGTTTAGCACGAAAGGCCCGAAAAAGCAATTAAATCCTATGTATTTCATTCGATCGTGTCGAATACCACTGCTCACGTGCCCATCCCTAAGTGGAGCTCATAAATTCAGCGATTTCCACCTGCTACTCGATTCTGTTCGCCTGGTATTTTAAATCGAAAAAATCATTTTTTCTCAGTAAAATTGGTAATTTTGGGAGTTCAGATACCAGGCGAACAGAAAATGTAGCAAGCAACTATTTTCTGGGAGCCTGTGTTTTTATTTCAAGATGGCTGCCTTTTCAAGATGGTTGCCCTTGGAGGCCAAAACATAAACAAGAGATGAGCAACCACGTTGTTTTCTGTGTCGTCTCACGAGTTTAGCACGAAAGGCCCGAAAAAGCAATTAAATCCTATGTATTTCATTCGATCGTGTCGAATACCACTGCTCACGTGCCCATCCCTAAGTGGAGCTCATAAATTCAGCGATTTCCACCTGCTACTCGATTCTGTTCGCCTGGTATTTTAAATCGAAAAAAATCTTTTTTTCTCAGTAAAATTGGTAATTTTGGGTGTTCAGATACCAGGCAAACAGAAGCTGCAGCAAGCAGCTACTGTTTTCTGGGAGCCTGTGTTTTTTTTCAAGATGGCCGCCCTTTCAAGATGGTTGCCCTTGTCACTGGATGCAAACCGTTAGTCTAGAGCCCAAAACATAAACAAGAGATGAGCAACCACGTTGATTTTTGTGTCGTCTCACGAGTTTAGCACGATAATCACGAAATAATATTAAGGTCCCATGTAATTTATTCGATCGTGTCGAAAAACAGTGCTCACGTGGCCATCCTTACGCGGAGCTCATAAATTTAACGATTTCCACCTGCTTCTCTATTCTGTTTGCCTGGTATTTTAAAGGCATCAGCTACCCAAAATGCGTTGAAATTTGATCAAAAAATCATTTTTTCTCAGTAAAATTGGTAATTTCGGGAGTTCAAGTACCAGGCGAACAGAAACCAGTAGCAAGTAACTTTTGTTTTTTGTGAGCTTTTTTTTTTTAAGATGGCCACCATTTCAAAATGGGTACCCTATCCAGCTTCCTCTGCTGCTGGAAAAGAACCGTTTGTTTAGAACTAAGCTTCAAAATAGAGATGGGCAACCACGTTGTTTACCATATCGTATCACGAATTTAGCACGATAAGCACGAAATAGCAGTTGGATCCCATGTATTTTATAAAAACTTGCCGAAAAAGAGTCCTCATATGCACACCTCTAAGCATACGTCAAATAAACATATCATTCTGCTGAATGCTTCTGTTCACCTGGTAAAAACCAGAAACCTGTCCGTATTGGGGGAAATATCTGTATGCTGTTTATTTTATTATTTTATTTTTAACTTACTTTAAAATGGACACACAGCAAAAAGAACAACTGTTTTGTGTCACATTTTTTACCCATAACTCAATCATGTTTTTCAGAACGCATTTTCGTTAATCTCGCATTACTCTCTATGCGGGCATGTACATACACGCCTTTCAACTTTGTTTTGCTACAAGTTTAATTTAATTTAAGCATCCATTTAGCCCGATGGCTCCGCTCAGCTACTCCAGGGCCACCAGAAACACTCGCTCACATGCAACGAGCACGTTACTATCCATGTGGCAGCGATATGTCCGAATGGTTGGTTACAAGTGTTGCCAACAAATAAAGCTAATTAAATTATATATTAGTTTATAAAGGATCTCATTTATCTTTACAATCATTGAATGTACTTTAATATTAAGTATTATCTTAGGTTCTTTCCTGAGAGAAATATCTTGACACAACTTTGAGGCTTAATAGTACAAATTCTTAATACTTTATAGTTTCTTAAGTTAACATAATTATATAGTTGTATATGCTGAATTTCTCAGCCATTTATAGGGGCATGTAAGATGATCCTCAAAAGATTATGAAGCTCTCATTGAAATGACCTGAAATTTGGACAAGATTTTAACGCAGATCTCTTGCCATTTTTGGTTTTGAGTTTAATTAAAGTTATACCTTTTAGAAGAGGAAAAGTTAAATGCCATATTAAAAAGCTAAGGTGCCATCACAAAATTATCATCAACTTCAACGTGCGGGACATGCGCAGAGTTGGTTATCCAACGAGAATCCAACAAGTGCGGCATGGAAATGTGGCTTGGTCTCTGGCAGTCAAACTTCGTGGCGTTTCGTCGTATTGCCTCGTGTGTATCGCTCGTAACGACACAATTCCAGCCCCCAGAGCTGAGGAATTTCAACACCACCACGCACACACATTGCAGTGGCGCACGAGCCGAGGGACGTGGGGTAATGGGGTTCGTTTTGGCGTCCTTTGGTTTAGCTGCTTGGCTCGACGGTTAGAAAATTCAGTCACACCACGGCCAGCTCGCAGTCAGCTACATAAAAGCAGGAGCCAACGAGCTGCGATACCAGAGGTCCTTCGTCTGCAACTGACCACGAGAGCTGAGCAAAGAAGCAAAAGCCTATATATAATTTTTTTTTGTGCTGTTTGTACAACTGAAAAGACATAAATATAGTGATTGGCCAAGTGAATATTATTGGTACACCAACGCCATGTCAACAGAATGCAAAACTCTGATAGAAAACTATCATTAATTTACGACTAAAAACAAACAATAACTAGTGAATTAAGGTAAGTGTTTAACTAATAATTACAGAACTAAGAAATTCACAAAAAAACAAAGAAATTATGAAAACCACAAAGTACAAATGAGTATGAGTATGTATACGTTATGTACATATACTGTATCTTTGTTGTTTCTATTCCGCTGTCGAGTGTGTACTTTTTTTTTCCGTTCTTAACGATTTTTCCAGTGACCTTGTTGCGTACGCCAGAACGTACAAATTCATGGAGTGTATGATAGTGTATGTGTGTGTGTGTGTGTGTGTGTCATTGCTGCTTAGCCTTGTCCTCCCCCTTTTATCCACATTCCGAATTTACACATACACATCTGTGTTGTTCTGCGCATATATTTTTGGGGCCAGAATTTTGGTAGCATACTTTTAAGCGCAGAGCAGTTCGGAATTTATGCGGGAGTTTTTGGGGGCCGAAAAACCGACATCCAAGGTATTTCACTTAGCATATTGCTTATTCCCGGGTTTTTGGGCATTCCATGGATTCTTCATATACACAATGACAGTTGCGGTCAAGATAATAGCCACAGGAAAAACATGTACCCATAATTGCTTTGGTTTACTTTATCTACTAGCTATTTTTGTAGGGGTAGTTCCGCGACACTTCCAATTAAGAACAATTACAGAGATGACTAATTGAAAGCCAAATGGCTAATTGAGGTTAAGTTTGGTTGAATATTTGGTATAATTTATAGATATTATATTATATCAATTGGCTGATAAACAGAACTGTGTTTCCAGTTTCGTGAAATTTGAAGATTACATTTTGAGTATACATATCGAATATGTTTTTCTATCCCCATTTTCCTGATTATGAATGTTAATGACGTCTTAAAACTAATATTACATGCCATTATGATGCTGATAAAATATTGATAAACTTAGTTACGAAAGAATTAGTTCTACCATAGTCTAAATGTTAGCAATTTAAGTTCTTTAGTTCGACTTTCAGTGCTATAGGGTTGAACCCCATCGTGTTATGTTCATGGAATGTTAATATCCGAATGATAAGATTGGGCATCAGCGTTTGTGGCCTGGCCTTGATGAATGTACGACTGTATCTATGTATGCGCCGTGCTGATGATGTGGCTTCAGCTTGTTGTCAGGGAATGCAATTGCCGAGCCCTTTATTGATTTTATGATACCATGGCTAGAAGGATCCACCACCCGTGCCGCTCAGTTTTTCCCTCGTACCCTGCAGTGGCACGTGCAGAACAACAAAACAAGCGGGGCAACAACAAGTCATTCACACCATTCGGAGTAGGAGATGCAGATAGAAACAAGGCAAAAAAAAAAAAAACGGACAGAAGTATGAGATTGTGGGTGTTGAATGGAAATTGCAAAGCAGAACCCGACTGACTGACAGACAGGGCGCCCACTCTAAGTGGCTTGAGTGGTGACAGGAGAGCTTTTAAAAGAAAAAATGCACCAGAATCCTTCCTTGGAGCATAGCCCCCCCTTCAGCTGCCTTTGGCATTTCCCTTTTCTTCGTCACGCTTAATTCACCGAAGGCATTCCATTGCATTCCGTTGTTGTGCGCCTCATCCTAAGGCGCTTTGCACGGCAATAAGACGCTATTGGGCCCTAGCCACACGTTAAGAAACGCTTTATTCGCCTTATCCTGGCTTGGCGACAAGTCCGATTGTCCTAGACTCGTATTGTGAGTCGCAGTCTTAGTTTATCTTTACCCCTTTGTTTGATTTTAAAGTAGTAGCTGGTTAGTTTAAAGGAGGAACATGTTTCATACGATGTGTTAGGTGTTAGGTAGTCAAAATTTATATGATTTTAAGAATTGCTTACTTTTGTTTTAATAGAAAAGAGACATACCTGATAAGACTTGTCTCCAAGTTCAACCACAAATTCCAGACTCCAATTCCATTTCATTTACAAAAACCAGCAGAGTTGCCTTTGGACTGGGGTTGACCCGAAAGTCTCAAGTGACTGGTCAACAAAATAGATTAGACGCCAATTCATGGGCCTTTTTAGGAAGTGTGTTACTGCCATTAGTGCTTTGGGTCTCAAGTGACAACTGGTCCAAGTTCGTAGAACACTTGAAACCACGCAATCAGAACACATGCCACGCGTCACATCTCCGATTCCGATGGCGGATGATTTCATAATACGCACGCTGCTGCCAACGACGTTGACAATTTTTCGGTTAATGACAGTTTTGCTCTTATCCCCGATACTCTGGACTATTTTTAACCTCAGTCGGAAAGGAAATGGGGAATGAGATTGGGGATTGGTATTGGGATTGGAACGCCTGTCACGTCCAGGCTGATGTCATTTCGCGGAGTCTGCGGTTTGGAGATGAGTAGGGGTATCCTCAAAGTGGCATCCCTTCAATGAGTTTTTTCGTCGAGCTCGTAGCAAGGGGATTGGGCTTGCATCTGTAGCCTTGACATGATTCGCCCTGACATGTAGTGGGAGTGGGTGGAGGAGGTGCAGGCCTGGTTGACCAGAAGAACGTGTGAGTCCTTTGTTGGCCAACTTTTCCGTGCCCTTACACACATGGGAAAAGTAGTTCCACGAATATTTTGTGTGCCACAAACTAGCTCTCAAGTAATGTTGTTTAAAAAAAAGGTAAATATTGCAAGGCAGAAGTTTTCTAGGGCTAAATTTTATACATAAACCAACATTAATCATATGGTTTAGAGGACAGATACTTAATTGCACTCTGAAAATATGAAGTACTTTCATTAAGCCCTAACTTGTTCACCTTGTGCTCATCCTATTAGTAGATACTTGACTTACTCTGAGTGTGTGAGTCCTCCTGTCATTGAAGTGAGATTAATTTTGTGATGGATGCTTGACGATGCTTGCTGAATCGGATGATGACTATTTTAACTTAGCCTCGCGTTTTTCTTCAAACATTTCCCTTCATTTAGCCTTTGTCCTTGTGGCGAATTCCACGTGGCGAATTACCAAGGGATTCGCATGCCAAGTGTGCTAAATTGGCATTCTTTGGAACCCACACCCACAGTACATTTTTGCCACCTTAAGACCTCCCTCCTTCTAGTTCGCCAACCCAACAATAGCTAGCTGACGTCAATGGGGGGGATTTGCAATTTGTGATTGGGCACTTTAAAGTATTTCTGCTTTGACATTCAATTTACTCGACCTGACTTTGTTTGCCATCCTCTGTGGGTCTCCATTGGCATCCCGCCTTCTCTATCCCGATTAGTTTGCCAGCGGCAAGGTCATGAGCCAACAAAGAGAAGGCCACGGGGTTGACTGACTGACTTTAACCCGAAATCTGAAAAAGGTCCACAGAGAGAGAGCGAGTTGCCATGACGTGATTAATTCGATTTGATAAAGAGATGCTTAAACTGGAAAGTCATCTACTTAAAGTTTAAGTCGAATTTATAATAGTTTAGTAGAGTAAACTAAAGTTAAGCAGGAAAACAATAAGACAACTATTTACTTGGGTGTCCATGAGGGAAGATTTCACTTTTTAATATGCGCTTACCTTAGCAATAATGAGCTCAGCCTTGAAACTCTTTAGCATGCAACAGTCCTTGGATAAATAATCCTTCCGTCGTCATCCTTACTGCCATGGCAACTCATGTTTTTCCCATTTTCCTTCAACCTCTTTTCCGTTTGCCTTTCAATGACAGCAAACACAATCCAGGATGTCGGACCAGCAGAAAGCCTCCCTCTGTCCCCGTCTGGTGGACTACATGGCCATAGTGGGTGCACACACGACGCCACCGATGCCAAAAGGACTGCAGGGCCTCAAGGCCCCGCCAGTGCAGGTAAGTCGGTCATTGATTATGTCGCTTATTTGATTTATAACTTACTGCAGGGAAACGGAAAAAAGTTAATATCACAGGTTTAATTTTAATAAAAAGGAGGAGGAGGATAATATCACTTACCTCCCTTTAGAGTTCCTTCAAAGTTTTAAGCTTTTTAAATTTATTTTTAAGGTTCCCGATCTGCTGCGTCGCTATCCTCCATCGGATCATGCCGATTTCCCGCTGCCCCTGGACATGGTGTACTTCTGCCAGCCAGAGGGATGCACCAGCGTGGGTCCTCGACGCACTGGCTCCGCCATTCGGGACATGACCTCCTTTGTATTCGCGTTGACCGACAAGGATTCGGGCAAGACGCGCTATGGCATATGCGTGAATTTCTATAGACCCATAGAGCGACCCAGTGCGGTGGCTGGATCAGCGGGAGCTGGCAATGATCGTCCGGGAAATGGAGGACCCGGAGGACATGCCGGCGGTGGAGGAGGTGGAGCAGGAGGCGGAGGAAGAGGCGGCAGACGATCGTCAGCCTTCAGGCGGGAGTCGTGGCGGAAGAGCATGGAGCGCAGTTCGGATTCGGCATTTAGCAGGCAAGTGTTGTGGGCGAGAAGGATGTGGGTGTGGCCATAAAAGTACACTCAGAAAAAAAGAAATATGAAAACCTGTGTCTATGCCAAAGCCTGTCTAACCCATCTCAAACCATTTCCATAATAGTTACGGCCTCTTAACTTCTTCTAGCGACTACAGAAGTAACGTAGCGCCTAGCGATTCGGACCGTGAACTGACTTCTCGTCGAGATTCGGACCAGCAGCGCCTGCACTCACACCATGCGCACCATCAACCGCACCACCCGTCGGCAGGTCCGGCGGTGCCTAAACTAGGTCTAATGGCTCCCTCAGCGGACTCCGAGTCCGGCGGCAGTCATTCTCCATCACCGCGAGCCTCTCGCAAAAGAACGAAGCTGCGCAATCAGTCGCTCACCTCGCTGTGCATCATCTCGCACCATCCCTTCTTCACCACCTTCCGCGAATGCCTCTTCATCCTCAAGAAACTGATCGATGCCTGCAATGAGTCTTCTTCACCGAAGCGGGTGGGCGCCTCCCAGAAGATCAATCGGGACAATGTGTGGACGGTGCTGACGGGTCATGTCAGTGAGGCCACGCCTTCGATCGTTCTGCATGATGTGCGCGAAATCGAGACCTGGATCCTGCGACTCCTCTCCACGCCAGTTCCGGTGCCGGGATCTACACGAGTCGAGGTAAGGGATTAGGATTGTTATCATATGGGGATGGATATCTAATACAAACCAAACTTACGTCCTTCCAGGTGGAAGTGCTGTCGCCTACAGTGCATGAGCCACTGCTGTTTGCCCTGCCTGACCACACTCGTTTCTCGTTGGTGGACTTCCCGCTTCATCTTCCTCTAGAGCTGCTCGGCGTGGAGACATGCTTAAAGGTCTGGACCCTGATCATGCAGGAAAACAAGGTGCTATTCCAGTCACGCGACTACAATGCCCTCTCCATGTCGGTCATGGCCTTTGTCACTATGCTATATCCGCTGGAGTACATGTTCCCAGTCATCCCGCTGCTGCCCACTTGCCTAAGTTGCGCGGAGCAGCTTCTACTGGCACCCACGCCCTTTGTCATCGGAGTGCCGGCCTCGTTCCTGGTTTACAAAAAGAACTTTAGGTTAGGAAAATATCTACAAATTCGATTATATTCTTAAGATTAGAAAGATTTCAAACATATTTTACTTACTAACTTACTTTACATAGACTCCCAGATGACATTTGGGTGGTGGACTTGGACTCCACCAAACTAACGCCACCGACTGGTGGCTATGAAGAAATACCACCGCTACCTGAGCCCGAGGGCACCATTCTGAAGAACCACCTCAAGCAGGTAAGTCACCTGGACACGTCCCTTAACCTCTGTATATAACCTGATCTCCTAAATCTTGTGGATGCAATCAAAAGAAAAAGTATCTGAATTTTGGAAATTCACCTATTTAAGAAATATGATCTTTTCCTAGGATTATGATTACGAATGAGAGTTTTTAATGAGTTTTCTTGATGCACAACTTAATTTGATAAATGAGAATGTTAAAATTTGAGTTCGCAGCTCAATGTACTTTGTCCAGTATATCCTGGCAGTGAATGAGTAGATTGCGACATTCGTCGTAGAGAGTGGCGTCCAATTTGCGTACTTCCCGATCCTTGTCAATGTCGAAGAAGTGCTTCAGCTTGTCCATTTCATTGCGCAGTTTGAAAACGATGCCGGGCAGCATACCCTGGGTCTTCTTGACTACCTGCTCCTGGACCTGAAGTCGCCGCTCGTTGATTCCCTCGCAGCGGAAACGCTCCAAACGTTTCAGTTCCAATTCCCGTTCATGGTCATAGTGGGCCTTCTGCTGCAGCAGATGTTCCAATAGGGCACGATAGACAATCAGTTGCTCCAGACGTGGATCTGTATAGACATTATCCGAGGCACGGCGCTGGAAACGAAGTTTGGCCTTATGACGGGTGTCGTTGGCCTGCACGGCCGACAAGAGGGCTATGTGGGGACTGTACATGGTTCTAATCAACAGCAAATACCGACCGATGAAAATGTATAAGCGATGATTTCGGACTAGGGAATAGTGATTCGAATGGGAGTCAAGCTGGGACAAACCATGATGGGATATGAATTAAGGCTCAAAGGCTTCTGATTTTTAGAGGTCTCAATATGGAACTTTATTTAGAATATAATAATCAAGATCACTTTCAAGCCAGGTGAATTTCCAGAATTTAGAAAATGAGAGTTTATCTTTAGGCGGTTCTTAAAATTCCCTTAAAACGCTATAAATATTCGTGACTCTCAAGGCCAAAGTCGCTTATTCATGTCTATTTAACCGATTTCACCAGAAAATGTGTCTGCTCTTGGGAGGAATTTCCATCTAAGAGGATTTCCCAGAGCAGACTCATCCAAAAGCTGCGATTACTTATCGTAGCTATCGTTATCGCTGTCATATAATCGTTATCATTGCTCCATTAAACTTTGCTGTGATTGTTTTAATTCGAATAATATACGATCTAACTACTTTCCGGATCTCTGTGGTCTGTCACAGAGCAAATCTAAAGAGAGCACTCAAGCGATATATATATTTTAATTTAAATATATTATTTTTAATCCCCCCCACCCAATTGACAAAACTCCTCGAACACTTGTACAACTCTCTATCTCTCTCTTTCTTTCTTTGTGGTTTTTTTTTATGTGTATAATCACTGCCTCTCTTTCTGCCTATCGATGTGTGTCCATCTCTGTCTCTACTCTAATGCTATACTTTTGACACTCATGCATTATCTGTTATATGAAATTTGTTATACTCGATCACAACTTTAACTACAACAACATCAACTACTACTACTACTACTACAACAACAACAACAAATCGTATAACAACAACAACATGGGCAGGCTATGCTATTGATGGATGAAGCTGGACTTGGTGTAAATATCGTTCGCAAAAGTGTTTACTTGATTTATCGTTTATCGTTTATCGTTTAAAGTTATATTTGAGTTGAAACCGTTTGTACATTGTAAACATAATCCATATCTAATATATATACTAACTATATGTGTGAATATTCGTTAACGAAGATGTACTTGACATAGAACATAGAACTAACAGCATGCACAGTCATTCTACATAGACGTACTCCTAACTCTTTAACTTTAGTCTGAAGTGAAACTTCGTAAAACTGGGTTTCCAATTAGCTAGGATTCAAATATATTTCCATGGGTTGCAAATTTTCTAAATTTTCAACCAAAATTTCTATCACTTTCTCTACCTATCAGTCGCTGTCTTTAGTGTTACGTGTTTCGTGTGCATGCCCTGTCAGTCTCTCTTTCTACCTCTCCACCCCCCCCAGTTTTCCAATTACTATAACTGTCTAAGTAACTAACTAACTTACTTACTAACTGAAGTGGCCTTATGCCTTCAAATAAGCTTTCCAAATCTCCCTCCCTTAACTTATAGTTAGCCAAGTTGAAGTCCTAATTTAGTTGCTTAGTGCTAAGGGTTAACCCTGCTAATTGGTCTAAATGGAATGTTCCACAGGCACTTACCTCAATGACGTCCACTAATACGGCGGTGTCCTCGCAGCAACTTTTACCATCGGTACGGGACAGTCTCCAGGAACCACCATTGCTTGGGTAAGTAGTCTTAGAGGTAATCCGTTGGTTGTCCGTATCAACTGGTTGTCCGTATGGATAAAAGATATAGATCTGAAACGATAAAGGATATATTAATGCAATACCAATATAGGTTATAAGATATCCATTAAACTTAATCACATTTTCTGATTTTCCAACAGGGTTTCTCAGGTGCGACTACCTCTACAGACGCCTCCACATTCGGCGCAGGCCAGTCAAAGGAATTCGATGTCCGCTCAGGGTACGATCAGTTCACGTCAACCAAGTCCAATGAACTCACCAGCCCTTAATCCCTTTGTCTACGGAACGGATGTGGATTCTGTGGACGTGGCCACGCGTGTGGCAATGGTGCGATTTTTCAATGCCCAAAATACATTGGCCAATTTCGCCGAGCACACACGCACTTTGCGGCTATATCCACGTCCAGTGGTAGCCTTCCAGATCAATAGTTTCCTACGATCCCGACCAAGAGCCTCGCAGTTCCTGAATCAATTTGCCAGAACTCAGGCGGTGGAGTTTCTGGCTGAATGGTCACTAACGCCCACGAATGTGGCATTCCTAAGGGTACAAACTGGGGTTATGGATCCCATGCAAGTGGGTGATAAGCCCAAGTGGTTTGCCCACGCCTTGACCCCCATAAGATTTTCGGTTTGGGACGATGGCAGCTCACTGAATGGCGCCCTAAGATCACTGAAACAGCTCGAGTGTCAGCCAACGGACGAGAGTGGTTCTGATTCAGAGGGAGCGGATAGTAGCAGCTCATCATATAGTTCCCTCAGTGATTTTGTCTCGGAAATGGCCTCCTCGGATCTCTCGCCCAGCCTGCATGATGTCTTTGGGTCGTACAATCGACCGCATGTTGTTCCTCAGACTCTTTCCTCGAATTTGGACCCAGCTTTGGTTTATCATCCGCCCAGCAAATTGCAATATCCCGAGGGCATTGCCGATGCGGCGGCCAGCAAAGAGGAGGAGGATGAAGAACGTGCTGATAGCCCGGTTTCTTCATCCTCCAGTCGCTCGGATCTGAGTTCACCCAGCTTCAATCGTGATTCGGAGTTTGATTTCCAGCCGAAGGGCGGACAAGCTCTGGGATCGACGGCAGTTGGTGGAGCGGCTGCACCCAGTTTCGAGTTGGCCACACCGCTGGCCATGCGGCTGGAGGCGACCATTAAAATGGCTAGCATTGAACAGGAATCGGAAACGGGATCCACGGGAAAGAGTATAGCCACTGGATCAAAGCTTCAGAGGCATCCCAGTGACTCCGAGAGGCCAGAGAAAAAGATTCCGGTAAGGAGAGATTGGTTAACGCTTTTTCCTTATTATATGTCCATATTTGTAGCCACCACTAACACCTCCGGTAAAACAGCCTGGTGTAAGCAACATCCTGGCCCGAACTGGTAGTTCCGGTTCTAGTTCAAGCAGTCCTGGACGCCAGAGCTCCCAAAGCTCCCTATTCGAGAACTTTGCCTCCCACGCCAAGGAATTGGTGAGGGAAACAACGCGCCAGAGCAGCCAGGAGGGTCTCCTGGCCCATGTGGATAAGGTAAGTGCGATCCGGAGTAACCTGGGCTGGTTTTCTAATTCGATGTGCTGTGTTGTACTCTGATCGTTGATCTGTTTTTCTTTCCTTTTCTTTCTTTCCGTGAACTACGTGGTTTAATTTTTCATTTTTTTTGTAATATTTTTTTGAAATATATTTTTGCGTTGGCGGTGTTGCGTTGGTTTATTAAACCTGACATGAATGTAACGTACTGTAGCATGCGCTGGACGAAGATCTTGACGACAAAATGCGTCATACCTTCGAAAAGGTTGGTACTCCCGCTGCACACATTCCCATCCCATCCAGAAAGGATCCACCCACTCGCTATCATAACACTAAACTTATATCTCATCAACATAAATCTAATGCCATTTCTCTATTCATCACACTGCACTCTACATATATACACATCTCATTAACTGAAAACAACGTGAGTCTTGTAATGACTTGAAGGCTATTTAACATACACCACATAAATATCAACAAGTTTTAAGGATTTCTATACCCACATCACCTTTTTAAATATTTCTCTTTACAAAACCACATTAAGTACATATCAAACTGCATGAAAACAAGAATACAAAGCATAATTTTCCACTATTATCCTTTAGTTTTGAGAATCTCACCTACAACTCACAATACACGTAACCTTTCCTTAAGACATCCTGTCATCCCCATCCTCACCTTCCCTCTGATCTTCTCATGGGATTCGTAGTGCCATCGTAGATTGCTTTAAAGTAGACCTCAATCCGTTACTGTCTGGCGTCTGAGGGACTCAAGCTTTGATTGTTAGCACCAACTAGGCAAATTGTGTAGACTTAAAACTCTCTACTAGAAACATATTTCTAACAACCATTCGATTTTGGATCCATAGTTTACGCTGCACGCCAAGAAGGCGGCCGGAGAGGCTTCGAAGCAGGCGTTGGAAGTGTCCAAGCAGGCGGCTGGGGTGAGCAAGAATACACTCGAGGATCTGACCTATGTGGGCAAGTCAACACTGGGTGATCTTACCAAGACGGCCAAGGAGGCGGCCACCAAGAAAGGCATCATTAAGATTGAGGAGCATTCGCCAGCGGTGGCAGTACCGCCACCAAAGTCACCCGGTTCCCAATTGGCCACGCATAAGCAGGTCCAGCAAAGTGGTGGATCAGGAGGTGGCAATAACTTCTTCTCCTCCATTGGCACTGATTTTAATGGCTTAGCCTCTTCCACATCCACCATGTTCTCGGGCATGTTTGGTAAAAGTAAGTCATCGCAAAAGCTCTTTACCTACCTTCGATATAACGTAATCCCATTGCAGAGAACCAACAAAAGCAGGCTCCTGTGCAACACAAGCCAGCTAGTGTATCCTCTGGAAAGGGCAAGACAGGCATCAATTTCGATCCCTTTCCTGGACGAAAGGGACTCGTGGAGCGGACTCCGTTGATAAAGCATTCGGGTCCAAGACAAACGCAAGAGGAGCTGACACGACAGCAAAACCAGGAGCGTTCGCACAGCAATGCCGAGAACCAGACTTTCCTCAAGGATGTGACTAACCAAGTGTTAGCTGGAGAAGGAGTCGGTTGGCTGAAGCTTAATCGGTTCAAGAAGCTCATGGAAGACGAGTCCTATCGCACTCTGGTTCTCAGCAAACTCAATAAGACGCTGGACAAGAAGATTGCTCCAGATGATCATATCGACGATGTGGTAAGCTGACTTTCCTGTAAAGATTTAAGAGATCTGTGAGACTTTGGTGTTTGAATTTCTATAATAATCTTACCTTTACCCTTCATTAGTGCGTGACGAAGCCCGTTTGGAAGGGCATGCTTAAGTGCATCCAGGCGATAGCCGGCGGTTTGGATGTGACCTTTGCCAATTTCGGCCTTGGTGGCATGGCCTCTGTCTTCCAATTGATGGAGGTAGCACACACACATTACTGGAGCAAGGAGATTAACGAGGGCAGTGACATGTCCTCCAGTCTGCTATCCAGTCACGCCGCCAGTCCAATGGGCAGTCGTGAGAACCTGCGATCGCCAAGCTCACCAAACGGTTCCCATTCGGCTTTGGGCAGCGAATGGGCATCGCCACAGGAATCAAGGAAGAGTTCTACCCAGTTACCACATGGTGGTACGCATTCGGGTGGACCGGTCAATCGACGATTGTCATCGGCGGATAGCCAGGATGGTCAGTCCACCACGGAGATGTTCAAGGATATGCTGTCGCAGAAGAGAAGTGCCTTGAAGAACATGCTAACCTCGTTCGATTCGGATGTAAGTAGAGTAGTACCTGGTTAGTAGTGCCGTGCAATGATTACCCACATCCAGCCACTTAGATCCGTCCATTCCATCAATGCCAATTGTTCTTAGCTTGCTAATCCACTCCTGTATATCGCTCAGTGTATATAATATATCTATATATGGTATCGTATCGTAGAATCGCTTATCAGCATCTCAGTAAATAGCCAAATCAGTAACAATTAGCATAAATCAGTATGTAATCAGTATGTAACATATATGTATGTATGTCCCATCGCGAGTGTCAATCGATGTAGTCTGCCGATCCTTCCACTATCAATAGTTATTCGTAACCGCAACCTGTCCCGCCTACATTCCCGTATCGTTACCGTCCAATTCGATATACTCCGTTTGTAGACCTCTCTAACACTCCGTGTGTGTGTGTGTGTTATTCCTAGGCTGCTGGCTCCACGGGGGCGCTTTCCGTTGTCAGTCTGGGCGTCCGCTTGCCCTCCAGCTGCCGATCCACGGTCTCAGACACCGAGTACGAAAATGTAAGTACCCTCCAGAGGAGGTTCAAAGAAGTACGGGATGTGAATATCAATAAAGTTATCTTTTGAAATTTGGATTCGATTCGGCGGAAACTTCTTTTAGTTATATAAATCGGGACATCTTCCTAAAACATCATTAATTCCAACTTGGAATAACCTTTCCATGTAAATGAAACATTTCCTATATTGAATTCTGGCTTGATCTTTCAATCTTAAAAGTCCTCGCCCTCGATCGCGTTAGATTTATCCAGTGTCAGGTCCAGGAATTATTCTGACCAATCCAATCTAAATCCAACTTCATTTTACAGACAACCACATCGAAAGATTCCAAAAAGAGCACTGGCAATCTTTGGTCCGGAAAGTCAACGTTAAGTGCCGGATTTCGTTATACTGGCGGGCATTTGATCAACACTTCATCTTCACCATCGCCGGATAGTCCGAGGGTGTATCTCTTTGAAGGACTGCTGGGCAAGGATCGTCTCAATCTTTGGAACCAAATGCAGTTCTGGGAGGATGCTTTTCTGGATGCTGTTAGCCAGGAACGAGATATGATCGGAATGGATCAGGTGAGATTGGTTTTTCATAGTTATTTCTTTTTATACTTACCTTTGAATCTGTTTCCTAAACAGGGTCCCATTGAGATGATGGAGCGCTACAAGTCACTGAGTGAATCGGAACGCAAGCGTCTTGAACACGACGAGGATCGCTTGCTATCCACCATGCTCTACAACCTGACGGCCATCCTGGTAATGTTGAATGTTACCAAAGATGAGATACGGCGTAAGATACGCCGTCTTCTTGGCAAGAGTCATATTGGCTTGGTGTACTCCCAGGAGGTGCACAATGTAGTCGATCAGATCAATAATCTGGTAGGTTAAAAAATGGATAAATATATATAAAGGAGTATATATATATGACATATTACCTCCTCCTTGCAGAACGGCAATGATATAGACCTAAAGCCCTTAGGTTCGCGGCTGTTGCACCGCCAGAGCTTCACTGTCCACCAGGGCACGGATGTCAATGGACCTCTGCGATTCATGGAGGTGCGAGATGATGGCTTGGTACTTCGATCTGTGGATGGCACCATTGTGGAGCGCTGGTGGTACGAGCGGCTGGTCAACATGACCTACTCACCGAAGACCAAGCTACTTTGCCTGTGGCGCCGCAATGGCGGTCAGACGCAATTGCACAAATACTATACAAGAAAGGTGGGTTTAATAGGGTTAAGGTGATAGTATGATAACTTACCAATTTACGTACAGTGTAAGGAACTGTACACTTGTATCAAAGAGGCCATGGAACGCGGTGGGACGCCCACCAATGTGCCCGAGCTGGGCGGCGAGTTTCCCGTTCAGGACATGAACACGGGCGAGGGCGGCCTGTTGCAGGTGTGCCTCGAGGGTGTCGGTTTGTTGTTCTCCAACAGCAAGGTGAGTGCTTCAGAGATATTCCGCTATAAGTCGAATTCCCCACCAAAACACTTGGCATACACAGAACATGAAAACATAGTTACACCCAAGACTCATATACACATCCAACCAGCTTCATCTCCGAATGCCTCAAACTACTAGTATTCGTCTCTTTTTTTTCGTACACCAATCCTCATCAAGCAAAGCATATATATATCCCAAAACGAATCCCTTATACCAGATCCATTATTGAGTACAGATACACTGTAAGCTAACGATAATCTTCCTCACTCCGTAAACATAATTGAAAGATCTTTACATTTGTTTGGGTCACCAGACAGCGAATAGAACAGACAAGGTTGTCACCAAAATGGTGTTGATCTGGGTAATCTTACCAATGGAGGAACACCAGACTCCTGAAATGATATGGAATATACAGAAAATACAGAATAGAAAGAAAAAATAAAGATACACACCTTAACTGGGTCACCGTTATGAAACCACCAACCAAGCAATGGTGTTGATCCGGGTCACCCACATCCAAACGAATATTGAAAACCATTTAAATGTCAGGATCAGTCTATGTTCAGATCCAACATGAGGGCTATACTCGTACATATACGCGTCTATCTGTCCAGATATCGATACATACTTCCCACTGCCTTCGTTTCAGTGTTTAATTTACTTTTCGTTTCCCTTTGGTTCAGTTTTCTTTTCAGTCTGGCTTTTTTTGGTTTCCTTTCCTTACGGTTTATGATTTTGATCGATTTCCAATGATTTCCTTGTTGTGTGTGTGTATCGACTGCATCAAGATCAAGGGCCCTCTCAATATATATACATCTACAAAAATATATATATTAAAAAATATATATATATATATTATATTTGGTTTTCAGTTCATGCTTTTCCGATATGTCTAACCTAGCAATGTGAAAGAGATTCTCAGGGGACTTGCGTAGGTCTGCCTCCAGTCTTACAGTGTCTATAATCGAATCTGAAGAATATATATATATATATATATAACATGTGTATTCCAGACGGAGATGGTCTGGATGATATCGAACTTCCGTTTCTTTTCGGGTTGTCTTTTCTTTTGTTAGCCACAACCGGAACCCGACTCCACATATCCAACTACCCAAGCTAAACCCAACTACGTATTATATTTTACCGATCTCTATCTCTATCTCTCTCTATCTATCTCTCTCTTTATCTGTCTGTCTCGCTCTAAATATTTCTTTTTCGTTCTTTGGCTTTGGTTTTGGCATTTTATTTTTGACTCGCCTTCTTAAATATCTACTTATATTATATTCCTAAGTCATTATATAATCCACAAAAAAAAAAAAAAAAAAAAAAAAAATGAAAAATCAATCGAATCTTTTATCTTATCCAATTTCTAATCGATCAAGTGAAAGTATATCTGAACAAATAAATATATATATGCAGAAAAATCCATCTATATCATACCCATATATTGTGCTAGTGAATGTACTGAATGCTGTATTCATTATACTCTCTATTTTATTTATTACCTTAACCGATTCAATGATAACGCCATCAAAAAACCAATAGCAAAAGAAATTTTAAGAAATTCCCCCAATTCTCCTAATCATACTTTTCGATTACGATTGACATTCTTATCCTTACGATTCCTTACGTTTACGTTACTTATACTCACCGTTTGATATATGTTGATATTGTCATCTTTATCTCATTTTGATTGTCTTTATATTATCGATTACTCAGACTACTACTACTACTACTACTACTACAAATTATCGATTACTACGATTACCGATTAGTATCGTTCGTAAGAGTATTGTACTTCATAGAAAACAAAAAATCGAACTTTGTATGTACCCTCGAAGCACCCACGACTAAAGTGTTCCTCATACCCGCATTAAAATCGATTTATCTCGATCAAAAAAACAAAAAAAAAAAAACTATAACTACAATTATTAAGTGATACTAAAAATAGGTAACAACTTACACCTTATTCGATTAGGTCCCTCGATCCGAGTCCCTCGTTAGAGTCCAACGAATTCTGTATGCCCTTTCATCCATAGCCTTGGCAAAGTCGTTTGTTTTCCTGTAAATATATAGAACACCTTAATCCCTTTGATATGAAGCATATGGGTCTAAAGGGTTCTGGGTTAAGACTAAAATATATTGTTTTTTGATTTACTTTTCCTTTTGCTAATTTATTTCTTTTAACCTTTCGGAGCTCAGACTTGAAAACAAAATTATAGAATCTATATATATATATATATATATATATCTGAAAATATATATATATGATAAAGAAAAAGCAATGCATCGAAAGAAATATCAATGAAGAATTTTAAGCCAAAATAAGGAAGTATTCTAAGCTGGTAACTTTTGAGATGGTCCTTGTGCAAAATCCTCTAAAGTGCTTTGTTTTCTGTTTCTGTTTAGTTTTAATTTAAATTTGTTTTTTGTTGTTTTATTTTGATTTCCTGTCTCTCTTTTCGCTATTTCTATAAACATATATATATGCGTATTTACATATATAAATAACTTCCTCTTTATATATATAAATATATATCTGTCTCTGTCTGTCTTTCTTCTATAACTGAACCTATCTCTTTTCCGTGTTTATATATGCGATATATATATATAAGAAGTTCTTTCGTGAGCTCAGACTTTTCTGCCTTACGTCATTTTCCGTTACGTTGTTCTTCATTACGTTCCATTTCGATTCGATTGCGTTCTTACTTTCTGTTTTTAACATTTTATTGGTAGTGTCTTTCTTCATGCCAAATTGTTAAGTATGATAATCAAAAAAGAAAACAACAACAACAACAAAGTACAAACAACAAATGTAATTTAAGCTATAGTAGCCATGTCCTCTACCCCATGATATCTCCACAGTTACCGCTGTAAAGCCGAGAAACTCTACCAAAAACCAAAAATACCAAATCCAAAACCAAAATTGAAAAATTCCCCAAAAAAAAAGATACATATGTCCCACTACTATTGTCTTTAAGCAACTGACTCTAACATAACAACAACAGCAACAACAACCACATTTCATATCGTTTCTATTTAGTATCTACCAAAAAATAATAATAATAATCCAAAAAAAATATATACAAAAATAATACAAAAATTCGCCAGCAAATTAGAAATTGAACAGAAAATATGCAAATGCAACTCAAATATTTGAATGAACAGTTTAAAAAACAGTTTTCTCAACTTTCCTTTTTATAATTTTCTTTGTTGTTTGTTTGATATTCTCTGTCGAACGCGGAACGCTGCACCGTTGCTCGCTCTCCCTCCTTTGTGGACCAACCAAAAATCACGTTCCGTAACCGGAACCGAACCGATCCGATCCGAAACCAAACCGAAACCGAAACGAATTAAATTATTCAAATGAATTGGTCTACTTCTCAAACGATAACAAAATCAAAAATCCAAAAAACAAAACGATTACGAAAACGAAAAAACCAAAATCAAAATCGAAAAATATAACCAAAAAAAAAAAAAAAAATCTATGATAAAACGATCTGAAAATGTCTGAAAAAACGATAAAGGATTTCGAGGTATTGCAATGAACAAATTTCTTGTTATATTTGAACTTAAATTTATAAGCAACTATTGTTCTTTAAATGCCCTGCTATCCACCACCCCCTAACCACTTGACCCATCCTTTAATCCACTTCCTAATCCCCACCACCACCACCAAATCTTTTACAACAACCAAAAGAAAAAATAGAAAATATATTTATGTTTGCGTTGATCTTGAGTTTTATAACTTTGGAATCTTTTGCGTTCATAACACTTAATTTATTCCTTCACTTTCACCCACCCCCCCAAAAAAAAAGGTAAAAAACCAAAAAAGTATACAAAATAATCTGATATGGCATTTAATAGTTAAAAAACAAAAAACAAAACAAAAACCAAAAATTTGTAGTTGATATTGAATTTTAAACCTTAAGCCGCAAATAATATACCATAAATATGTATATTATTTACCCATATCTTTTGTGTTATGATCTCTATATCTCTCTCTCTCTATCTATCTATCTCTCTGTCTCTTTAATCCAACTGAGATTTTCGTTTTTGAACTGTTGGTTGATTGATTGATTGATTGATTGATTGGTTGGTTGGTTAGTTGGTTTGTTTGTTGAATTTAACTTGATTGAATTGAATTGAAACTAAGCCGTACACTTTGTATACCTTAATGCTGATTACCGATAACCGATTACCAATAACCGATTGTTGATTACTGTTATTGATTAACTTTAGACTTACAAGCTTATCATTTGCGCCCCCAACTTCTCGACACTTTATCGTTTCGTTCGTTCTTATGTTTCGGTGTTAGCCAGCACTCACACATGATCACACACTCACACACACACACACAATACGTCCAAATAATGGATGGGTCACACTATACTACTAAATCATAGTTGGTCACACCACTTCTATCAAATCAAATAGTCACCCCTGTGGCTTGAAGAACTCCAAACTTCGAACTTAAGCATGCTATGCACTCCTCCTGCACACCTCAAGTGCAATCTTAAAGTTCTTTCCAGGACTGCACAGCACAGTTCACCCTAATCCACTTGCATCTGTCCTGGTCTGTCCGACATTCTTTCTAGAACTTAAACTTCAGTTTTTGTAATGATGGCTGATAAGCAAGCTTGAAAAAACTATATATATATAGACCACGGATTTACTATACCAAACACACGAAACGAAATATCACCAGCTCAGAAAAATGAATATACACATGGCTGTACTGTTACATTCCTTTATCATTTTGTCACTTTCCTTTCGATTCCGCTAAGTTCAGTATGATTAAGTTTCGTTGGATGCGGCCTAAGTTAGATGACCTTTCACTTGGAGGGAAAGCAGCCCCCTAGTCACTTAGATTTCCCCTTTTTAAAATGGTTCAGAGTTCGTTATTGATTAAACAATCTGATATCCTATTAAATAACCTTAAATATAATTGATATATTGTTCAGAATCACTAACGAACTATGTGCCTTTGCTTTTTTTTGTTATGTTCTAATCCCCTAAATAGAGTGTGCCAGACAATTCACCGAGTTACCAACAATAGACCAATAAAGTTTCCTTAGTGTTGATTTTGAGTTTGCTTGTGTAGAGTTACTTGTTTAGCAAAGACTTAAACACCAATCGTAGTTGTAGTTTACTAATTAAGAAACTAAAAGAAAGTATTAAACAAAATGACAAAAACCAAACAAACAAAAAACGTTAATGATACCGTATACTTAGAGGAAAATTACCCACTTAGAAAACCCATAACTATAGTCGTAAGCTGAAAAAACCACAAATGCTGGCGTTTTCTTTTCAATATCTATAAGCTATCGCTAATAGTCTGGCTTTCCTGCCTTTCTTTTCCATTCTCTTGCTCTCTCTCTCTATCTGTTACTACTACTTACACATTTTCAGCCTGTCTCTAACTCTCTCTCTGTTTGCCTATATTGTTTCGTTAAATCGTTGATATCGAGCCAATTTAAGTAAAGCTAATTAGTATCAAGTAATATTATCGAGTCGGATGTTCGAGCATTGATCCTATATTCCCGATCATATCCACCGGTTTTTAGTGGTAGTGCCACATGCTGCATGCTGTTACATGTGACTCCCCTTAAATCCTATAATTCCCAAATATTCCCACCACCAGCATCCATTTACCTAATTACAAATCTTGTAAAATCTCTATGAAGTCAAGGACTAACGACTGTACCTGAATAACTCTTCCCCCATAACTCTTTGCTGCTTTTCAGGGAACAAGAGGGTGGTGTCCCTTATAGAATATTCTTTGCTAGATAATCTCAATAAAAGAAATACTTATCTTTAGTTTACATGATTTTCATAAGTGTTTGAACTTTTCTTTTTTTTAGTTTTCAAAATACTAAACAACTTCTTTAGAGAAGTACACACACTCGGACACCGAACACTGTAGCTTAATTTATTTATTTAGCGTTTCTATTAGTGCAAATTTTGGGGTTGCTCAGGTGAACAACTCTCGTAAATATATATATACCATAAATATGCATAGAATCAACGCCTCTCCGTATCCAAAAATCCAAGCTACTTAGTATACGACCATCTCACAAGTGCTAATTAGAATCCTCCTTTTCCCCGAAACAAAAATTTACTAAATGAAAATTCCATTTTCAATATGAAATATGGAAGAGAAAAGATGTTTGACAAAAAAAAAGAAATATCAAGTAAAGCAAACTAATTAACAAACTTTCATTTGATTTTGCTGCATTCTTTTTCCGACTCTCTCTCTCTCTCTATCTATCAATCTATCTAACTCTATCGGTCTGTGTCATTCCGTTAAATTTCTTTAAGTTTTAAATTGTCATTCCATTTGATTTTATTTTACGTTTAGTTCACTTACCTTTTTAGTCCTGAGCACTGATTAAACGCCGAAAGCACTTGATGCGTGCCGTGTGTACATAAATGAATGTCGTTAACTGTACTTGGTGTCCTTGTCTTGCTGCCTGCCCCCTTAAATAGATCAATATAGATATGACCCAAAGCGCTTGCGTAGCATTTAGCTTTTGTTTGCCTGCCCGCCTGCTTGCTTGTGTTGAAATTTCGTACCGTTTCGTTTCGTTATATTGGGTTGGTAACTGTACTTTTGACCATACACCTGAAATGAAAAAAAGAAAACATGAAATTTTTTTTAAAGAATCCGAAAAAAAATGCTCCCAATTGCTATGATTTATTACATTTTACTGCCCACGCGTATACGCTATCTCTTTCCAATGCTCTCCAACTATCTCTCTCTCTCTCTCTCTATAAATCCCCGCTCTGCCTATCAACCAGTCTATTCCTCTGTTGGACAGCGTTTTGTGTGAAAGCTTTTTGGTTTGAACCGCCTTATGAGTTGCATTCCGTTACCGTTACGTTAAGTTGCATTCCGTTTAGCTTGATTTCGTTACGTTCCGTTAACCCCTTCCGTTATGTTTCATTCTTGCGCTCCGTTACGTAACGGAGCCTTGAAGCCGAAGAAAGAATGAAGATTATCTGGCACTGAAGCTTAACTGACTCTCTTCTCCGCCCATATTTCAGTTCTTCGTGCGTTTGGACCACATCCGCAAGTGCTTCACCCAGAAGGGCGGCATCTTTGTGCTGGAGGAGTACAGTAAGTACTGTATAAAACATTTCTATCAACTGAGTGTTTATACTAACATGATTTTCTTGTATTTTCCTGAACTTACAGATCCCAAGACACGAAATCTCATCCAACGGAAGTATCAGTCAAGCATGGTAAGTACTGTTACTAAATGACATATCCACCACAGTTCGCCACCACAGCCATCATAAGCACTATTCACCACTTGTTCCGAGTTGCATCCCGTTCCGATTGCGATCGGAACTATCGTTTATCGATTAACTGTACATAAACTTGCTTAAGCCTGCCAAAGTTATGCAATTTTCTGTACAAATCAATTGTGAACCCCCCCAAAAGCCCATCTCTATATTATATATCGATATATCTATATGGAGTTTTCAGAAATTTCTTTAACCACTGTATGATAATGGCACATTCAATTGCACCGACAAGTTGTATATACGATATTGAGATAATCTCTTTGATTTTCGATTTTTCTTTTCTTTTCTTTCCGTTTCCGTTTTCGTTTACCATTTGGTTCTTTGCATTCGTTTTTTTGTGAATATATTTCTATGTCAACGACAACTCAACTACTCAACAACAAACAATGCCTGCAACAACACACAAAACACCAACCAAACACCACTCATATATCATCAAAATAATAATAAAAAAAATTATGATAAAAACCATAAAATAAACACACATTGAAAAATAACAACACTCACCCATTGATTATGAAACTGAAATCAAAACGACAAAATGTGTAATTGAAACCAAAGGCATCGGAAATTGTCCTGAGCTTTCATCGCGTGACCTCCGTGCAGTTTGCCTACATCTGTCATCTGAATGGCGTTCGAGGTACAGTTGCTGACAAAAGCTCGACTGGAACAATGGAACAATCGATGGAAAAGCATATGGAAAAACTGGAAACGCTGGAGACACCGCTGGCGAGCGAATAAATAATGTGCCTAAAATGAAATCTATGTAAATAAAATCAAGAATCCTTTTTTATGTAACTCCTTTGTATGTATGTACTTCCTGCAACATCGAAAAAAAAGAAAAAACACCACAACAACAATCAAAACATAAACAACAAATATAGTTTTTCGTTCTGGCTTCTTGTGAATTTTCTTTACCATAATATTTTCAAATTTTTTCTTTGATATTTTCACTTCAGTTTTGGTTGTTGTCCACTCCACTTTCCAATGTTGCGAGTTGCATGCTTTTTTTTCTGACTTTCTGCCTTGTTGTGTTGTGCAAGCACCACCACCCACCCAAAGAAAAACCTTCCACCCACTTCACTCAAAACGAAAAACACCGCCAAACAAAACACTGTTCATACTGAAAAATCAAACAAGAAAGTCGCCTTAGTAGCAGCTCTTTAAACTTACGTATACGCTCCGTAGTCCGATCAGATATGCTACTCGGTGCTGTGCGTTTTCTCGTACGTGGCCGCCGGCCAAGATCAGAAGAAGAATCCGGTGGTTATCACGCCGCAAATCCAGGACATCCATGCCCAGCAAAAGCAGAAACACCAACAGCAGCAGCAGCAACAGCAGCATCAGCCGATACAGCAGCAGCAGCAGCAACAACAGCAACAGGCACAGCAGCAACATCCGCCTGCTGGAGCTGCAGCAGCGGCATCTTCAGCGCCCACAACCACTGCTCCAGCTGGTCAGTCCAATCCCAATCGAATGGGGGGCAAATCTGCGCCTGGCAACATCACTATACGCCACACGGTGCCCATGCAGAAGCCCACCATCACCATGTCAACAGTGCAGCCGCAGGCCAGGATGCCCGCCCAAGTGGCAACCGCTTCTGTTCCTGTTACGGTTCCGGTTCCTTCTCCCACACCTACTTCCGCCACAACCACCACCACCACTCCCAGTCCTGGCAAGCTGCCGCAATTGCCACCACGTGTACCGTCGCAACCTTCCACAGAGAGCCTGGCTTCGATCTCATCACCGCCACCGAAGATCAGGACTCCAATGACAGCTCCACCTGGACCACCGCCGGCAATACCGCCGCGCACTGGTGCCATTGCCCGGAGCGGTTCGGTGCCGGCGGCCCGATCCTTTGTCCGCCAGGCATCGGCAAATTCCACACCGCCGCAGTATACGCCACAACCGCCGCCACCCTTTGTGATCCCCAAACGGCACAGTGGACTGGCCAGGGCGTCCACTATGTCGTCGTCATCATCATCATCGTCGGCATCAGCGTCGTCCGCCTCCAATCATCCCGGCCATTCGCAGTCGCAGCAGCGCGCCAGCCATGGCAGCGTCGCCGCTGTGCTGCAATCAATGCCGGAGGCTGAGCCCGGTTACGGATCCGGCTCCGGTTCGATATCCGGCTCCAGTTCCGGTTCCGGTTCGGCATCGGGCTCCATTGCCAGCGCTTCACCGCAGGCCCATCGCAAGCACTGACGAAGGAGTTCGTTCTTTAAGTTTGGAGGAGGCGGCGGTGGTGGGGGCGGGTCCAATCCAGGGGCAGGAGGCGGTGGTGGCGGACAGATGGGGGAGGAGCCACATCCACATGCCCATCGACGAGACGTCTGCCGCACCATCTGCATCCCCTGGCTGTGATCCCGGCAGTCGACCGAATAAAGCGGTTCATCATTCCAAAACGGGGCTTTCCGGATTCATGTAATTACATAAAAACTTAAAACTAACAACGTTTATGCGCCTTAAGTATGGCGAACTTCTTAAAACATAAAACATACTCGTATTACAAAGGCAAAATTCAATGTTAGGAAGAAACCTTTTTTAAAAGCTTCAAATTGCCAATAGAAAGACATTTTAGCAAAGGAAATCTTAAATTTAAAATCTTACAAATTATTGATTCTAAATTTTGAAGACTTAAATATTTAAGAACTAAAAATCTTAACAGAAAAAGGGTTGGAAATGTTAAGTTTTCCAATACAAAAGCCAACAACAAAACAAATTAGACAAGAAATTGTTACACTAAAAGAAGTTCGCCTATACTTAAGAACACAATCTTCCCATAAACGTTTAAGGTTCACCTTAGAGTGAACCAATGTTGTTAAGAAAAAGCTACGTTTTACTGTCAAGCTACGTTTTTGTAAATATAGAACGTCTACTAATCAGTCATACTAGTAGACCCAAAAACCAAATTATAGCCAAAGTTGCAGTATTTTTTCTATATTCCAACACGGATCCCGAAAGCCCCGCGACCAATCAGTTATGCTATATACACATATATATCTATACTGTATAGGAGTTGTATTTACTGAACCTTACATTAGCCAAATCATATCATTAACCGCCTCTAACTAATCCCATAGACGAATTGTTTCCTGCTAAGCTTTAAGGCAGAAAGCGCCAAACAAAAAAAAACAAAAACTCGCTTAAACTTATCTTTAAAGATAACAAATATATACATAACATATATATATATATATACGAGGTGTGTTCAAAAAGTAAGGTGACTTTTCAAATTTCAAATTTTTCAAATTTTTCGATTATCTTCAGTTTTGGGAACAAGAAAAAGTCACATGGGGCCAAATCCGGTGAATATGGTGGCTGAGGCATTATTGTGGTGTTGTTTTTGGCCAAAAAATCCAAATCCTTTGATCCATATTTTTCGATAGCAAAAAATCGCCGAGCTCGCAAAACAACTTGTAACTTTACGCCTCTCACAACCAAACAAAAGAGGATGTTCCATTGAAACTTGGTACAGATGTTAGGGAAGAGTGTACCAATATAACAAAACAAAAAAATCGATAATCGAAAAATTTGAAATTCGCGAAATTTGAAGAGTCACCTTACTTTTTGAACACACCTCGTATACACAGATCGGGACTTGACTTCATGTGGGGCCCAGGAAAAGGGCACAACAAATGATACACAAACGGAAATTGAAGGCAATCTAGTTAGGGATATAGTATACTATACCAACTAAATCCAAATTAACAAACAAAACTAAAACATTAATGTGAATATCTAGCAGACAACTACTACGATCATACATTAACTAAATAAATATATATATAAATATAAATAATATATTTATGGTAAAGGAATTTAACTAGTTGTACGAGAAATCTTAAGTGAGAAGGCAAAGAGTGGTCCTAAGTTCTGAATGGGATTGGGATTAGTTTAAGGAATTGTCAGGGAACACGGGAGCACGGAGGACAGGAGGACTCTGGAGAGCAATAAGTATGTCTGTGTATGTAGTTAGTAGACAGAGATCGGCATACACACAATATATATATATATATATTCATAAATATAACTATTTTTTTGTTTGCTGGTTCTGGATGTTAATCGTAAATTAAAGCCCAGCACCTATAAACATGCACACAAACATATATATATATATATATACTTCTCTAACCGTGTATATATGTATATGATCGATTGTATTTTTCAAAGTTCAAAGCGAGAAATAAACAAAACATAAAAAAAAAAACCAAAAACCAAGTTTTTCTAATCTATATGGCAAGGTTGTAAGTGATAAGACTAAGGCCCCCAGCTGGGCATTAACGTCACGATGCTTGAGTGTTTTCTACTATTTACTAAATACTTAACTTAATCTAGACATAATGGAGTCTATTAAACTATAAATTATATGCAAGATAATAATATGTTGAGGTTCCGTTCTAATCACGTGGGAGAATCCGAAGTCTGATTCCATTGCCACTTTTCGTTACCAACTCGGCCAATGGCTTTGGCTGGTGGTCTTCGTCGGCCAAAAAGCGATAGCTCCGCAGCAGCATGGACAGAGAGGTCTTCAGCTCCAGCATGGCAAACTTTTGGCCTAAATGGTGGGTAAATGAAACAAATTTAATTAGGGCAAGTTCAATGCTCAACAAAAACAAGATTATAACCTATTAACTTGGGCGTTTCCTCAACCTTATCTTTGGTCTATAAATTGTTTTTTGTTTTATAAATATAAATCGTCAATCGATGTTACTGAACTTTGATCTGTGATGATGCAGGCATAAAATGAACAGATGTTTGGGTTTTATTATTAACTTTTTAATTCCAAAGGAAACTTTCTTCATTCATTAACTGTAATCAAAATTTAAACAAATGCACTCAATCATGCTAATTTTGGGTAGCCAGAAATGCCGAAGCTCTTCCTGCTTATCAACTGTTTAAATTTAGAAATATTTTGAAAAGACTTTCGAATGATCTCTGCCCTTTTATATTTTAAATATATTTTTGGCTACTGAACACCCTCAAAATTTTCCGCTGTCTAGGTTTTGCATCAAAACAAGGTTTTTATAAATAGCATATATCATCATGATCACCTCAAATTTAGAACCTAATCTATGAATTTGAACTACATTAACCTGATCGCAAAATGAAATTTTATGTAATTTGTGGGAGAGTTCGCGCTTCCGATTATTATTTAGGAAAAGTATTTGGAAAACTTAAAACCTTTCTCAGGTTCTATTTTTTCTTTAGTATCTACTTAAAGGTTACACTATCCTAGATGATAGAACTAAGTAAAGGGGTAATATATAGGGTTATCTCCTAATTGAAAAAAAATAATACATATCTTAGGCTGTTAAAGGTCAAACTCACCTATACAATTCCTTGGGCCAGCACTGAAAGCTGCAAAGGCGAATGGATGCATTTGCTTTTCGTTATACAAGAACCTATCCGGATTGAATCTCTCTGGATCAGGGAAGTTATTGGGATCACGATGAAGCATATAGATGAGACAGCTAATCGAGGCACCCTTGCGCACCGTCAACTTGCCCACCTGCAGATCCTCGAGAACTTTCCTCGAGAAGAACGGCACAGAGGGATAGATGCGCAGTGTCTCCTTGATCACGGCCTCCAAATAGGGCATCGATTCCTTCTCACTGCCCTCCAGTTCGCAGGCCTCCTCGAAAGCACGCTGCTGAACTTCTGGATTCTTGGACAGCAAACTTAGGGCAAAGGCAATGGCTGAGCTGGTGGTGTCGTGACCTTCGAACATGAAGGTGTCTACTTCCTCGCGGATATCCGTGTCGCTGAGCTCAGCGCCGCCCTCCATTTGGCTGAGCAGCAGCATGTCAAGGAAGGCCAATCGTCGCTTGACACCAATGTCATCCTGGTCCGCTTCTGGACGAGATTCGTTGCGCTCTTGGATTAGCTGCTCTCTGCGCTGCTTGATCACCCGGTTGGTCTCATCGTGAAGGACCTTCAGAGCTGCCTCGCGCTCCTTGCCTGGCTTCGTGTGCTTAAAGAAGACATTAAGACGCTGCCAGAATGAGAAGCTCTGCTTGTGCATCACTCGACAGATTCTAGAAAAAATAATAAAATAAATTAAAATTCACTTTTAAATGATTTATTACGTCGTAAACTATAAATTTCATTTGCCTTTATTATTTAGATTACTGATAATTATCAGACTGTACTTACGATTGAACGGCTTGCACGTATTCCGAGTCGCTTTGCAGCTGGGCGTGCTTCTTGATGCCCATGGCCGTTTCACAGATGGCGTCCAGGGCGAACAGGGTGATGTAGGGATAGATGTCGAAGGATTCGCCATCGGCCTTGGTCTTCAGACGACGCACTAAGATGCGGCAGTTCTCCTCCATGGGCTCCTTGAACTCGCCAAGAATGCGGAAGTGGAAGCCTGGAGTAAGCAACTTCCTACGACGATGCCAGGACTCGCCTCCATTGGTCAGCAGACCCTTGCCCAGCCAGGGCTCTAATAGCTCATAGTTCCTTGACTTGGTCAGCAGTTGATTGTTGCCCAGCAGCTGCTTAATGTCCTCCGGATCCGAGAACATCACCATCAGATCCTTGCCGAACCAAATGCGAAAAACTGAGCCATGCTTCTCACGCAGCTCCTTCAGCCAGTTGAGGATCTCTGGATGGGAAGAAAGGATAAGGGACTTTAGTCTTAGGAAGGAATTTTTGTGTTTTAAGAGTAATGAAGAATAAAAGAAAAACTATTGCCATGAAAATGTTAAAACCAATTCAAGGAGAGGGAACATTTTTGTAATCCTTTCCACTTTTCTACAAAATTTAACATATTTCCACTTCATTTTGTCAACTAAATCACAAATCACATAAATTCCACTCAAAAAAAAAAAAATGCAAAAGTTGCTAAATTAGCATAAACAACACCAATATTTATGCCCACAGCATGTAAATAAAAAATCAAGGGCAACGCTGCGTATGCGTGATAAAATGTAGAACCACTTTGATGGCTTTCAAATGCACTTTGTCATTGTTTTTCAGAAAACCTATACAAACTTACCGCCTTTCTTAACATTGGCAATCAGTTCGCCAATCGTAGGACCCGGCAGTGTCTTTGCGAATCTCTGAAGTCGCAGGAAATTCAGGATCTTTGGAAGGTAGCGTAGGAAAAGTGCCCAAAGGACGAAAGCAAACAATGCCAGGGTGCTCATTTCGCCAGCAATTACAGTTCTGTACTGGCTCAACGACCCCGAAAAACGACGGCTATATAGTGTCAAACGAAAACCTGGTAATATGACGCGAATGCGATTGTAATCGTCGGCAATGATCTTGCGATTACTGGATGACTAGCATATGCGAACTTAAAGTTAGTGAACCGCTCGACGTTGCCGCTTGTTTGCAACTAATTCGCACTCGGAACGCAGCTCTCGGAATGGAGGGTCTGGGTCTATGGGGTACATATGTGGTATATGTGGTACATATGGTCCGAGCTATGGTTCTCTCGGCAGATAGCAGATCGCTAAGGTGGAGGCACTCTGGATGCCCTCCGGTTGATTGATAACCGAGTAACAGGTTAATGCCATGGAAGCTACGTAAGCATTTCCGGGCAAGATGCTGCAAGTTCAGCACATCCTATCCCTTCTATTATCAACAGGCAGCTTTCTGATAAGATTTATATATGAAATATATTTTTAAAAACGAGTTTTTACATTACATTTGGGTTAATGTCCGCGAAATCTTCATTGGCATAACTTTATTTGTGTTTCAAATCGTATGATTGTGTTCTTGAAGTTCAACCTATTGTAATACTCTATTTCGTAATCCTCTTATTTGGATCAGACCACTTTTTGACCTACAAACAGCAAATATATTGCGCAGGCAATCTGATTAATCGTTCAAAGTACGCGCGAAAACCATTTCGGTCATAAACAAAAACGAGCTTTTAACTAGATTATGTTGGAAAAGAAGGCAAAGAAAAAGGTTTATTATCTTACAATTATAGCCAATAAAAGTTTAACAATGTAGCAAAAAGAAAGAACTTTCAATCTTTCTAGAAGAAAGAAATCTTCTTTGGCCATAATAAAGTTCAAAATTCACTTAATCTACTTAAGAATTTCAACTACATGTTTTAACCACGTTTATGCTTACAAAGGTAAGCACACGATCGATCAGGTGTAGCGAAACGCTCGCCAATTTGAGGATCCCAAATGGAGGTGGACAACGGAACGTGTCCGGTGGCTATAATCATTCCATTCACTGCAGTGCCAGACCCAAAAACGAGTTCTATAACAACGACAACATTGCGAGCACTAGCTATTAAGTTGACGTTGACCTACATAGAACATGTGCACAAGTATATATACTATATAGTAGTAGAACTGCTCTTAAGAACTGGTTCCGTTGGCTAACCCATCTCAGGCTTACTATTACTTAATCTTACTATAGACTTAAAGGGATTATTTTTAAACTAAACAGCTCAAAGTCCGACGTAATGTTTATCGACTAATAAAAAGTTAAGAAATTACAATGCGTTATTAAGTCATTTAGGTGGAAAACTATCTTATCTGGCTGAGTTTAGAAAAGATCCCCTTAGCTCATAATGTTAATTAACGCCTGCCTCAGTAACTATAAACCACACCTGGCCTATCCCACCACCAATGATTGTAATCAAATCAATTGGAAAGTTCAAGTTGGGGTCTGCTTAATGGCTTAATCTACTACTACTAATACTACTGATAGTATTAGCTATTAACTAAACTGCATTGTTTTCATCTCAACTATTTTCTAGGCAGTTTTTTATATTAAGTAAGAGCTTATCTTTCACCTTGCAGCTGGCTTTTGTTTACATTTTTAGTATTAAGTTATAGGCAGTGGAAGAAAAGGGTAAATAATATTAATATAAAATATTAAATTCATGAATATTAAAGTTAAAGTATAAATTTGTGTGCCTTAAAAGCTGTTTTTATATTGAGGAATCAAAAATAAAGCTCAGCTGCCTAATAAATACTTTGGAATACTTTTAGGCTGCGGCTAAGTTTGTGTTTTTCAGTTGATATGAGATCTGATTATATATATAAGACATTATCTGTTCAATGCTTAACACTAAAATATACATTATTTCTTATTAAATTTAACAATAAGTTGCTTCTTAAAACTAACAATAACAATAAGTTTCTTCCTAAATTTAACAATGAATTTATCCTAGAAACTTAAAGTATTAATCATAAATTTGAATAAGTCTCAAAGAAATAGTTTCTTAATTTCAGATTAAAGTAATATTATATCTATCTAACCATTATAAAAACCGAAAATAATTTCAAATCTGAAGACTTCTGCGCTATCTGCTTAGATTTTAGCCTTGAGAAACCTTAACTTAACCTAACTTTTACTTAAAAAAAAACCAAATTAAAGCACATTAAGTAATAGATTGATTACACATCCTATTCAATCAGAGAACCTTTCAAGATTGTTATTGATAGCCTCATAATCAACTCAATCATCTAAGAGCTGGGTAAACTTTTGGCTAAATTACAAAAGCGAACCTCCATAGGCAGGCATATCAAGTGTATGTTTTTCTGGCATGGGCACATTTCCAATGCCCATGTCAAATTTGTTTACTTGGCAAAAAATAATATAAAAAAAAAAACCAAAAACAAGTGAAAAACCAGCCACAACATGCTCTTATTGGGTGGGTCAAGGTCGAACTGGACTTCGAGCCGGGCGCCCAGTTGGCCAATAACTACAAGCCAAGCTAAGCCAAAAATCCAGGGGAGCTCCCCCATTTGATTTCGCATAAGCACGTGCTGACAAGTGTTGGCCAAATTGGATTTGAAAAAGAAAAGAAAACACAAATAGAAACAAAGACAGACCCAAAATTTAAAGTCCAAAACCCAAATAGCAAAACCCTTAGATTAGATCACCCTGAACCGGTTGCCAATTTGGGCTAGCTGTTGTCTTTTAGCCACAATTAAAAGCAGTTAAACAGAATTCAGCCAAAAACCGATTGTCAGCAAGAGCCAAGCCCCATCTATATTATAGTAAATATATATAGCCTTGGCATGCCAGTTAAAGTTGCTGAGGTCTGCAAAAATCAAGATATATAGTACAGATGGGTCAGCAGAAAGGTAATCTTAACTAATTTGGGTTTAGAATATTCCGGACTAAGCGGACCCTTAAATGGCAACAGAGTCCAGAAATAGAATTACGTAGCTGTGTGATTAGCATATTCCAGCAATCTGCTGAATCATTATTATTTATGCATAAATTTGAGATATTTGTTGATTTGATTACCTCCTCCCCGCCCGCTTGAGTTTTAAGACTGTTCAATGTCTTGTTTAAGTAAGAAACTGCTAACTCGCGATGATAATTGACTAAGTAGAAACAGAAAGTTAAGATATATCTACGGAAAGGTGTTCTCTTAGAAGGGGGAACTCTTGCTGGTTGATGATATTATGGGTTATAGGAGCTATGTAAGCTAAGGAAATGCCTTAAGACAAGGTGTAGTTTAAGTTAAGTTAATGAGAGTCTTAGAGTTAATACTTAAAATGAAAGTTATCTATGATATTCTTATAAAATAATTTACAGATATTGCTTATAGTGAGTGATGCATACTTATTGATAAAGTAAATCCAGAAAGAGCATTCCTCACCACCTAGAAAAAGTCACTTCTTTGCGGTTTTTTCTTAATTAAAAACCCAAACCTGACCTAAGAAAAACCGCAAGTTCTATATTCCAACTCGTTTAGAGAGACTCGGAAGAAAAGGCCCTATTAAAACCACTCTCTTTATGCAGATTAAAGCCAATTCAGACTATATCAAACTCAAATCGTTTTAAAATCAATTCAGTCTGAATTCATTGGCCCCAAAATAGACGTGTCAATGACTTGAGTCAACGTTGGCCAGTCTCAGACACACAGACCCCCATATTAACTATTAGCCACTTAGAATGACTCGACACTATAGTATATAGTATATAGTATATATAATATCAGGTGAATAGGAAGAGCTTATAGGCGGGTCTGCCGTTCAGCTTCAACGATTACTATTTGAACTATATTCGAGGATGATTCGTCTTTATTTTTTTAGTACGCCTCACTGCTTCGCCCATTTCCGGATCACAGGTAGTACCAATTTTGGGTTTACTTTCCCATAGAGATGGCAATCTAAGATGTGGGTGCAGCAGCCAGCCTTAACTAAAAAAAAAAACTATAAATAACACAAAATTCAATTTATGCAAATGCAAAGAGGGAGAGATACTAGTTTTTGGTTCCCATCGGAGCCATCAATCTAAGTCCGATGATATTCGATTTGGCAAACAACTTTCGGAACTTGGATGGGATTTTTGAGGAATGCCAGAAGAGAGACGAGTCTCCAAACATTGAATATCAATTCTTGTTCACAAATTCTTCAGTTTATTCTGTCAAATGTAAACACTCAGCTTTGTTTTAGCGCTTTTATTGCTGCCGGGCCTTGAACTTGCCAAGGGGGAGCCTGATCTCAAGTCATCTTTATGAATTGGCCAAAAGCAAACAGACTGTCGTGTCCATATGAGCGTGGCTAAGCGCACATAGTTTAGGCGACAGTGCGAGACGAAATTATAAGTGTGTTTTTAAGGAGATTATGATGTGGGGATGTTCGGGTGAAAGAGTTATAAAAATCAAGTCTTTACTTAAGAAGAAATGCAAATTGAAAATAAACATAAGAAAGGGATATTGAAAAGAAATTAAATAATAGTTAGAAATCCTTTTCTCTTCTTAAAAAATACATCTATTGAGTAGTTAATATATTAAAAAATCTAGTTACCTAACCTTCTTTCCTTCTATGAAACGCACTGTACACACAAAACTACGCTTCGTTTGGATTTGTTCGAGGCGTAAAATACGCGAACATAAATCGTTTTTACGGCATTCAAATTGCTGGCCGCTCTTCATCTTGGCCCGGCTGCTGCTGCTGCTGCTGCTGCTAGTTGTTCGTTTTTAGCCATTCGCTTGTACAATGTGGACTTAGTTGTTGTTTAGTTATGGACATACAAGTACGAGTGGTTAAGTGTCTACCACAACAACTTCCTTGTTCTTTTGCCCACTTTTATGATGCAGTCAGCTAATGTAAATGTAGTAGCTATTAAGCCGGAATCTAGTGTTAACTTCCTTAAAAATCACAGAACTGCGATTTCAATTAGAGTAAAGCGCGAAGGGGAGTTTCTGATGGCTTCGTATCAGGGTTAAACTAAAGGTCTTTCCTATTAGCATTACATTATTAACAGTTTTCTTGTGATTTTAAAAGCCTTAAAGAGGAAACTAATTACTGAAGAAGAAGGCTTGCTTAAGTTCTAAAACTAAACATAAATATTTAACAAATATTAAATTCTAATTTATGGCTATTTTACACGGCATT